CACTGGTCCAAGTCGGCCCCTCCTTTTGAAGATGGACATGCTCTTCCTTTGGAGCTGGACCTGGTCCTCGCTGCCTGTCACAGCCTTGTTCATGTCCCTCTCCCACAGAGGGGAGGCTCAGTCATGGAACCTACCCACTCGGCTGAAATAAATAAACACGTGCTGCCAAGGGGGAGTGGGAGCCGGGACTGCGATCTCCCTCCACCACTGGGATGGAGCGGAGTGCATGAGGGGCCGAGCCTGCTCCATCCTCAGCCCCGCTGGGGCACCAGAGGGGCCCCAGGCAGGAGCCTGTGTGTTGTGGTTCTTGAGCCAGGGATGTCTTCATGGACATTTGGTCTCATTTGACTCTTCTGGAACCTACTACCCTGCCCTCTGGGCTGGACATGCTCCTGACCTGTCCTGGGCTCTCGGAAGAACCAGCTTTCAGGAGAGCCAGACTGGTCCTCTCAACCAGCCCCTTCTGATGGTGCCAGTGGAGGCCCCGACAGGGACCTGGAAAGCAGGGAGAACGTGGGGTAGTGTGGGGGTGGCCACGGTGAAGATGCCCCTTTCCTGGGGTGCTGGGGGCTGCAGTCCAGGCAGGAGGGGTGCAGAGCTGGGAGGAGCACTGGTCTTGAGCAGCACCAGGGCCATGTGGGACAGAGGCCTATGACAGAGGGACTGTGGCCAGCTCCACGGGAGCCTGGCATCCACCACCGCCTGCCACTGCCTGCTGTCTGCAGACCCTGCTCAGAGCCTTGACGTCCACTCCGCTGCCCCTGCGATCATTGTGGGCCTTCTTGCCCGAACGGGAGTCCAGGCTGCGGAGTAACAGGCAGAGCACCCATGTAAGGGGCATGCCTGGGCCAGGCCCCTAGGGACAGAACCAGCATGGGCCCTGGGCCTGGGCCTCAGCATCAAGGCCGGCGTCCCCACGTCTGGCGGATCCAGGGCTTCACCAGATGGAGGAATCCAGTGGCTGTACTTCGGGGAGGGTTGGGAGGGGTGTTCCACAGGCAGGCAGGGTGCCTGTCAGGTAGAAGGGGCAGGAGGACCTCAAGGCCCCTTGGCGAGCCTTGGCATGGGAGAGGATGGGGGTTGGAAAACTGTTTCTGGAAACAGGAGACTCAGCCCAAGGCCCTGGCAAGACAAGCTCCTCATTAAATAGCCCCTCCCATTGCTGGGTGTTTGAGGGCTGGGTGCCCAGCCTGGACCTGCCATGACCACAGAGGGCTGATCTGCAGACAGCAAGACCTCCTGTATCTGTGACTGGGCCTCCTGGGGGCATCTCGCCTGTAGACTCCTCCCAGCTGTGGCCTCGGCTGTGAGAAGCCTCCCCAGTCACCTCCTGCCAGCCTCAAAAACGCCAGAGGCTCAACCATTCATGGCTACACTGAACACTGCTCACAAGATCTGGAAACCAAAATGGTGGGGGTCAGACTGGATTCCTGAGAAGCAAGGACCGCGAGGAAGCGCCTCCTCTCATTGCCTTCATGCGTGGATGAGATCAGTGTGGAGGGGCCTGGGCCTCTCCATGGGAGGACAGGCTGCTGCAGTCTCCAGGGAGTGGGGAGAGCCTCCCAGAGACAGCAGAGGGCGCTGGGAGCAGCCGAAGTACTTCTGGCCTCTGGTCACAGAAATCCCAGGCAGGGATCTGCCTTTAGGCTCTTGTTGTTGTTAAGCTGATCTGCACAGCAGGACTTGGGAGCCCAGCCCTGCTTCTCTTAGGAGGGGCTTGGCCCCGGAGCTTCTGTGTGGCTCTTTGAGGGCTCACTAGAGGCACCTGCAGCTCACTGAGAGAAAACAGGACCAGCCCAGGGGCCACAGTGGAAAACATAAGAGGGGCCAAGGGGGCTGGGCACGGTGGCTCACACCTGTAATCCCAGCACTTTGGGAGGCTGAGGCAGGCAGATCACGAGGTGAGGAGATTGAGACCATCTTGGCTAACACAGTGAAACCCCATCTCTACTGAAAATACAAAAAATTATCTGGACACGGAGGCACACACGCCTGTAATCCCAGCTACTCAGAGGCTGAGGCAGGAGAATTGCTTGAACCCGGGAGGCGGAGGTTGCAGTGAGCCAAGATCTGGCCACTGCACTCCAGCCTGGGCAACAGAGTGAGATTCCGTCTCAAAAAAAAAGAAAGAGGGGACAAGGGGAGGCGGGTGGGCGTGTGGCGTGCCTGCGCATGGTGCCACATGTGTCATGGAGACCGTTCCAAGAGCCCCGGGGCCCACGGAGTCCCCCAAGCGCTGAACAGTATGAACCCTGGAGTACCCTCCTTGGCCAGGGGCCCAGGCCCAATGAATGAAGCCCAGTGGGAAGGGGGTGGGTGAGGAATGGGGCCCCAGTGTCCTGTCAACCCTGGAGCCCTTGGAGTTGTTCAAGTCTGAATGGGAGGTCTACACCGTGGTCCTTACCCAACCTTCCTAGTGCTGAGTCCTGAAGCTCATGTGGCGGGTGTGTGTGTGGAGAGCTGACCTCCTCCCTGCAGCCCTGCTGGACTCTGAAGAGAGCCAAGGCCAGTGGGTAGGAGACAGGACTGGAGCTGGTGCAGAGAGAGGAATGGGCCCCGCATGGGTTTGATGAGAAACTCAGCCTCGTATAGGGACACCTTGGGCCCAACACAGTCTGTGCACGACCTCATGGAAGCACAGAGCAGCTCTCTCTATGGGGGTGGGAGCTGGGCAGAGATCTGTGCACCTGGAGGAGCCAGGCTCAACCCGGCCTGGGGGACCCCCAAGCAGGGCCATCTCCATTCTGCACCTGGCTCTGGTGTTTTCCTGCTGCAGACCCAGTGCCCTGCTCACCCCCAATGTTCAGACCCTTGAGTCCCGGCTCCCCAGAGATCCATGGCACTGCCCCATCCTCAATGTAACGTTCTCTGGGGCTCCACCCACTGGTCTCCCCTACATGAAGCAGTCATCGCAGACTAAAGGGTACTTTTGGCGTCAAGTCGCTGTGTCGTCCAGGCTGGAGTGCAGTGGCATAATCATAATTCACTGCAGCCTCGGCCTCCTGGGCCCAAGTGACCCTCCCACCTCAGCCTCCCCGAGGATTTGTGAGTTTGTGTTGTTGTTGTTGTTGTTTGGGAGGTTTGTTTGTTTTATTGAGACAGGGTCTCATTCTGTCACCTAGGCTGGAGTGCAGTGGCGCAATCTTGGCTCACTGCAGCCTCCACCTCCTGGGTTCAAGCCATTCACCTGCCTCAACCCCCAAGTAGCTGGGATAACAGGCAAGCACCACCACACCTGGGTAATTTTTATATTTTCAGTGCAGACGGGGTTTTACCATCTTGGCCAGGCCGGTCCCTGAGGATACTTTTTTTTTTCCCCGAGTCAAAGACTGTCACCCAGGCTGGTGTGCAATGGTGCAATCTTGGCTCACTGCAACTCCCACCTCTCAGCTTCAAGCAATTCTCCTGCCTCACCTTCCCGAGTAGCTGAGATTACAGGTGCTTGTCACCATACCCAGCTAATTTTTGTGTTTTTAGTAGAGATGAGGTTCCATGATGTTGACCAGGCTAGTCTCGAACTCCTGACTTCATGATTCACCCGCCTCAGCCTCCCAAAGTGCTGGGATTGCAGGTGTGAGCCACCGGGCCCAGGCTGGTCGAGGATACTTTTTAAGGTCAAAGAGAGTAGCAGAGGTGGAGCTCCTGGGAACAGGGTCATGAAAGAAGGGGTGTTTGGAGGGAGGGAGTGGCCACTGGCTGCTCTAGACCGGGAAGGCTTTGGTGCAACGCTGTTCCCCTGCAGTTTTGCTCATCTTTGCTTCCTGCCCTTTCATCGAACAGACAGTAGGCAGGACAGGGCCTGAGGGGCCAGGGATCCAGTGGGGGCCTCTCTAGACTAACCCCAGCTCAGGACTCCCAGAGCCCCTTCCCAGATGGCCCCGCTGTACCCAAGCCCAGGTTGGGGATCCCGAGCAGCAAGTAGGCAGAGCCAGTGAGATCCCCGTTGGTCCCATCGAAAGCTCTAAAACCAGCGCGCCCTCAGTCAGGCATCCAGGACGACCTTGCCCCTCATGGGTGAGCTGAGCCATCTCTGCAGACATGGCAGGGCCTATGCTCCATCACTGCCTCCCAAGGATGCCAGCCAGGCCCCCATTAAGGGAACTACTTCCCTGCTGGACAAGGCTGGGACCAGCCATCCCAGTGACAGTTCTGGAACCCCTGGCCTGGGCTGCTGGGCTCAATGGACCAAGGCTGTGGCCAGAGTCAGGGGCATGCTCTCAGTGACCTCAAGGATAAGGCCAGATCCTTGCACTCTCAGTGACCCAAAGCAATGAGTCTGCAGAGCAGCAGTGTGGTGCCTTCACGCCCCACCCATCAGCCCGACTCACCCAGGGCAGGGACTTGTAGCCTCAGGGCTCAATCCATGCACCCTGCATGGGGTCTCTTCCCACCATAATCACAGGAAAGGCTGGGTCCTTCAGGGGACCCCTCCTACAAATAGGGAAAGGAGAGGGACAAGGAGCTGCCTCAAGGCCTCTGGAGCACACCCAGGTCCCGGCATGGGGCCCCTAGGAAGGTCAAGATTCTGGGCTTCATGAGCTCAGAGTAGATACCTTGTTTTTCCTTGTCCACTGTCAGCCACTCCACCCTTCCCTGGCCCTTAAAGGAACCAGGAAACAGCAAATGATCTACTGGAAGGAGGCATTCATTCATTCTTCCCTGTCAGTGAGCACAGGGAGGGGGCCACAGGGCATGTACCCAACCCTGGGCTCCAGCTGAGCAGGGGGGTCAGAGATGACAGCTCTTCCAGCTCACCAGCCACTGGCCCACACGCAGGGCAATCAAAAGACCGGAAGGGCACAAAGAGTGCACAGAGGGAGCCCTTGTCCCTGCCAGAGGTGCCGCACTCCGGGAATGTCCCCCATCCCTCTGTCTTGCGAAATCCTGACCTGGGGCAGAAATCTTGCCAAGTGTTTCCGCAGGAGTTGCTGGCAGTTACCTCACCTTCCTGGTCTTGGCAAAGAATGAATCAGCCCACCCTAGAGCCCATAAATAGGGCCACCCAGATGAGCCTCTCACTGGCTACCTCCTCCTCCACCCCTGCCAGGCCCAGCAGCCACCAAAGCGCCTGCCTCCTCTGCCCTGAAATCATGCCCCTGCATCTCCTGTGGCTGAGCCTCACCCTGCTGGGGGCTCTGCAAGCCCAGGCCCAGGACTCCCCCTCACCTCTGATCCCAGCCCCACCTCTGAGCAAGGTCCCTCTGCAGCAGAACTTCCAGGACAACCAGGTAAGGAGCCAAGAGGGGCACCTGCAGGCAGGGCCCGGGGAAGAGTGGGAACAGAGGAGAGGAGAGGTGAAGAGACTCAGAAGGGGCACTGGGCAGGACTCTGGGAGTCCAAGGTCCAGGCTTCAGCTCACCCTATGCCTCCAGGGTCCCCTGATGGAAACCATGCCCCTTCCCCCATCCCTACCTCATCTCAGCCTGAACAGACTTTCCCAGGTCCACTTCCCCTCTCCCATAACCCCCACTGTCCAAGGAAGGTGGGAACATCTTTAGTTCCCCTGAACGGAATGGGAAGGCTCACCAGCCACTTTCCTCCTCCCTGCCAGCCTCAGAACCACCTCCTCCCCCAGCCTCCCTTCTAGACTTATGGCCTCCTGTTCCTGCCCCTTCACCAGTGCAGGCCTAGCCTGGGCCCTGCTGCCCAGCCAGAGGGGCTCCTGATTCCAGGCTGGGCTGCCAAGAGGCCACAGGGACAGAGCTGGAGGGGTGGCTCCTAGGGCCCTTCCTGGGCTGTGCCTATCATCAGTCCCCTGCAGTTCCAGGGGAAGTGGTATGTGGTAGGCCTGGCAGGGAATGCAATTCGCAGAGAAGACCAAGACTCGCTGAAGATGTATGCCACCATCTATGAGCTGAAAGAGGACAAGAGCTACAACGTCACCTCGGTCCTGTTCAGGTGAGGGCCGACACGTCCTGGGGATGTGAGAAGCAGACTGATGTCACAGTCAAGGGGTGGCCAAAACTAGGGAAGCTGTCGTTCACCCCACTGTTCTGCACGGAATTCATCTGTGTTCATCCTTCCTCTGTTCCATAGGGCAACGTTTATAGGGCATTTCAGTGTAGACACACAGACAGCAGTGGGGGTGGACACACACAGTCATTAGAAAACAAGATGGAGAGAGGAGGGGTGCCTGGGAGCAGGAGGAGGGGACACTGGATCCAGCCTGCAACACTACCCAGGGCCTTCATGGAGGGCTTCCAGGGAGGTAGTCTTAAAAGAGGCAAACTTGTCCGGGTGCGGTGCCTCACGCCTGTAATCCCAGCACTTTGGGAGGCCGAGGTGGGTGGATCACGAGGTCAAGAGATCGAGAGACCATCCTGGCCAACATGGTGAAACCCCATCTCTACTAAAAATACAAAAAAATTAGCTGGGCGTGGTGGCGTGTGCCTGTAGTCCCAGCTACTCAGGAGGCTGAGGCAGGAGAATCGCTTGAACCTGGGAGGCGGAGGTTGCAGTGAGCCAAGGTCGCACCACTGCACTCCAGCCTGGAGCCTGGTGATGGAGTGAGACTCTGTCTAAAAAAAAAAAAAAAAAAGAGCCAACCAGTAATCCCAGCACTTTGAGAGGCCAAGGTAGGTGGATCACGAGGTCAGGAGATTGAGACCATCCTGGCTAACATGGTGAAACTCTGTCTCTAAAATACAAAAATACAAAAATGCAAAAAGAATTAGCTGGCCGTGGTGGTGCATACCTGTAGTCCCAGCCACTCCGGAGGCTGAGGCAGGAGAATCGCTTGAACCCAGGAGGTGGAGGTTGCAGTGAGCTGAGATCGCACCACTGCACTCCAGCCTGGGTGACAGAGCAAGGCTCTGTCTCAAAAATTAAAAATAATAATGATAATAAAAAGAGCCAACCTGCTGCAGAAGGTGCTTCAGAAGGAAGTGTCGGATGTTCACAGCAGGGGCTGAGTCAGAGAGAGCCCCCTTCAGGAAGCAGCAAGCCATTGCAGGGTTGCCCTGAGCAGAGCTGCTGAGCAGCCTGGCGGGGTGGGGGGCCAGGCTAGCATGGTCCTCAGGCATCTGCCCCGGAGGAGCTATTCAGAGTGGGTTAGAGCAGGGCCCCTGGGCTGCAGAGTGGGGAGACATGTTGGGGTGCAGTCTGGGAGGGTGGGAGACCAGTGAAAGTGACGCGGGGCCGTCACAGGTGGGAGAGAACAGGGGCAGGGTGGAGGGGCAGGGAGCCAGGGACCAACCACCCACAATGGGTTTCTGACTCTGGCAGCGGAGTGGATTGGGATTGGGGCATTTGTGGAGCAAGGAGCAGAAGAAAGACAGTTTGGAGAGCTAAGCCCCGGGTGCCAGGGGATGGGAAGTGGGAGAACTCAAGGATGAGGTCAAGTTTGACCTAAGAGCCAGGGGAACGGTTGGCATGGAGCAGACTGGAAGCAGCAAGGTGGACCCAGGAGAGGGTATAGGAAGGGAAGCAGCAAGCTGAGCGCAGGGGAGAAATGTGGGTGTGTGTGTGTGTCAGGGGAAACCCACCCAGGGGAGGCAGCCAGAGGAAAGAAGGACATGAGGTGCTGGGGGGCCTGAGCAGGTCCAGGGGCCCCAGGCAGCAGACCAGGAGGGACAGCCTGGGGTCGGCTCAGGGGAAGGCCCAGGCCCATCTCAGCTGGGAGGGTGGGGTAGGGCCCTTTCAGGGTCCCTCCAGGTAGTGGGAGATGAGCTGTCAGAGTTAGGGGTTGGGCTGGACTGAGAGCATCAGAATCCTGCTGCTGCCCTGGCCCCCACCTTGTCCAGCCCAGGGGGCCCAAGCCTGGTCATCTCGCCTCTCACTCACCCATCTCTCCCTCCCAAGGAAAGGGAAGTGTGATTATTGGATCAGAACTTTTGTTCCAAGCTCCCGGCCCGGAGAGTTCAAGCTGGGCAACATTGAGAGTGAGTCCTGAGTGAGGTGGGGCACTGGGCTGGGGCTCAGGGGGGCTGGGGAGGGGCATAGAGCTTCCTGCTCCTCCACACAGATGCATTATATGGGGAGAAGTCCATGCTGATGGGCTGGGGGGCAGGGGACAGCTCCCTCCTCCCATGCAGAACAGGGCTGACCCCTCACTGTCCACACCTGCAGGTCACCCTGGATTAACCAGTTACATTGTGCGAGTGGTGAACACTGACTACAAGCAGCATGCCATGGTGTTCTTCATGAAGGCTTCGCACAACAGGAAGTACTTCAAGGTCACCCTCTATGGTGGGTCCCCTCCCACCCCCTTAGGGACGGGCTCCTGATCACACTTAGTGGGAGGGGAGACCGGTCCCCACCTGCAAAAAGAGGTCATTCCACAGACCCTCCATGAGGAAGGGAACTGAGGCCTCATCCACTCATTCAACGATATTTATGGGGTGTCTACCAGCCACTCACCCGCCATCTTGGCCACAGGGAGAACCAAGGAGCTGACTTCGGACCTAAAGGAGAACTTCACCAGCTTCTCCAAATCTCTGGGCCTCACTGAAAACCACATCATCTTCCCTGTCCCAATCGGTAATGGCCAATCTGGATGTGGGGATGGGGACATGGGGACTGTTCAGGCAGGATGCTTCCCTACCAGGGAGGGAGGAGAGGAGAGACTCCATTCCCAGCTTCAGTTACTGGAGCGGTGGACAGTCCAGGAGCTCCTTGGAAGCCACTCTGGGCTCAGGAAGACTGTGCTCCCACCCCAGGGTCTATGGGGCTCCCAGGGACCCACCCAGGCCCCAAATGTTCCTTCCTGGCAGTTTAGCCAGGGTCTTCCCAGACCAGGATTTCAGGCCCAAGTTTCCATTTCTCAGTCTCGCTGGCCTGACACCTCCCCCAACCCTTCCAGGACCCCTTGTGCCGAGCCATCTCCCCCTAACCTCCCAGGCTTCATCACCCTGGGTCTTGCTGTCCTGCCTGTCTTCCCTCCCCCGGGCACTTGCTCACTACTGACTTGGGAGATGTCCTTGACTCCAGGGAGCCTGGTTAGGCAGGAGGCCCCAGCTAGGCCATTCAGAGAACCACTGGACTCGCCCATGCTGAGAGGCTGCCTAGACTGGTAAACAGGCAGGAGACCCTGGTGCCGGAGCAGCCTGGGAGCCGAGCCTCACCCAAGACAGCCCACCCCCAGGCCTTTCTCCCACATCCCCTGCCCCACCATCTGCCCCTCTGTTGCCCCATCCCTGAAAGGACCCCATACCTTCTGCATCTGGGCCAGGTGGGGCAGGGGCTGCACAGGCACATTGCAGAGGACCTGGCAGTCAGGGATCACATACACTCACACACATGGGCACACTCCTGCACACACATGCTCACACACCGGCACACACACAGCTGCCTGTTCTGATGGACTTTCTCCCCAACAGACCAGTGCATTGACGGCTGAGTGCACAGTGAGTATGGCTGGGTGGCTGGGAGGGGCTTATGGGAGGCCAGAGTGCAGTGGGCTGGGGTCTTGGGCCTGCGTTTGCTCCTTCCTCTGCTCCCCAGCACTGCTGCCATCTTTATTCTGCGGTCCCTGTCTCGGGTGCCTCCCATCTCTCTGCCCATCACCTTCATATCCACCTCTGTCCAGAGTGCTGCCAACTGCCCCACCAGCCCGGATACCAGTGAGGGAGCTGGGAGACCCTCCCCACAGCGCTGCCCACCCAGCTGCTCCCCAGGCCACCCCGATGATGGAGCCCCACCTTGTCTGCTAAATAAACATGTGCCCCAGGCCTCTGAGTCTACACTCTTTGACCCCTGGGTCTTCGAGGAAGGGGAGGTGCAGGTGGCTCCCACTGGCATCACTCCCAGGGTCTGCACGCCCAGGATGGAGCCCAGCGAACCCAGCCTGAGTGTTAGGGCTGCAGAGTGAAGACACAAGCCCCTGTCATCACTAGCAGGTTTGTGGCTGACAGCCTTGGGTTCTTCCCAGGCAGTGTAACACCACACTCCCTCCGGCTGTGACGTGGGCTCAGCCCCAGAGCAGCTGCAGTTCTCACACTCCCCTGCCTAAGAGGGTGCCCCATCCAACGCAGACACGGTGGGCCACACCACATCAGAGTGCCGCAGGGGCACACGCAGCTGGAGGCCATTCAAGGCAGAGAGGGTTGGCTTGGCAGGGGTGGTCCCCTGCCCCTCTGCCAGCCCCCTCTGGGCCCCATGAGTGAGGGACAATGTCCATGCTAACCCTGTTTCAGAGCAGTGTCCCTTATCCCACACCTCCCTGCCTGATGACCTCCAGGCCACCTTGGGGATACATTCTGAAGCCAGGGGCAGGGCCAGGTGGCAGTGAGGAGGGGCTGTGTCACCAAGAATCCAGTTTCCCAGGATGCAGAGGGCTCCAGGCCTGCATTCATCACTTGGCTGCCCTGTGTCAGGCCTGACAAGCCCCTGGTCCCCCACTGGCCACAGAGCCAACCTCTCCAGGTCTGCATCACACACAGGCACTCCCTCCCCAGCCCCTTCTCCCCATGCAAGGCCAGAGGCCAGAGTGGGTGGGGTTCTGAGGAAACCCCATGGACACACACACCACCCTGTTCACCCTCTGTAGGGCTGTAGGGCCCCACAGGGTCGTGGGGTGTCTCTTATGCTGTGCTGAGGTGCAGGATCTGAGAAGTAAAGACAGGACACTGAAGAACTGGGGAAGAGTGTCTGGACTTGGAGGCCCCGCAACCTGTGAGCAGAGATCAGCGAGGGCCACTGCCCCGGAGCATGTGTATTTATTAGGTACAAGCAGGGGGCAGGGTCATGAGTGAGGTCATCATCTTTAGGCTTAGTAATAGGGCATACATAATCACGTGAGTTACAAGCGAGGGGGCCACCCCATTACGTCACTTGGGCAGAGAGGTGGGCCATGTGCAGTAGGGGACCATGCCATGCGCAGTAGTAGAGGGTCATGTACAGAAAAGGAGTCCACCCCATTAGGTCACTGAGGCAAGGAGGTGGGCTGTGTGCAGCAGGTGTCATGTACAACACTGCTTATCTGGGGGCTGGAGACTTCAAAGGATTTCTAATAGAAGGAGGCTGTAAGCCAATGCAGTGGGAGCTGACAGATTTGTGCTCTTCTCTTAAGATATTTATGGGAGGATGATTTGAGCTAGCATAGAAGTGAGAAAAGACTGACAGGGTGTACAGCCGCAATGACTGGTCACACCAGAGGGATTCTTCTCCCTCAGTTAGTTCCAGGATCTCAGGCCTGAGGCCTACTTTCCACAGGAACTGGATGCAAGGTACTACAACTCCTTTATCAGGAGGAGAGGCTCTTGCTCCAAGCCTGCCATACAGCGTATGCCCTTTCAGGCAGGGACGCCGCCTCCTGGGTCTTTGGTTCTCGTCCTGGTCTGGCTGTTTTCCCATGTACTGCTTCTGTTCTGTGACTGCTCTAGGCATTCCTCCTACTATAAACTACTCTATGGTTATATTGAAGGATTCTATAAATCAGCACTAAATGTGTCAGTACAGCTCTGACTATGATACCTAAATGATTATATAGAACTAAGTATGCTAGCTATATTAAGTATGATTATATAAGCTAGATATATGTAAGCAGTAAGTTATACTTCAGGTACTAATTCTATAAACTAATATATGATTATATATAAAGGATTATATAAAGGAAATAGCTGAGTAATAGCACTATAGACCAAGATATTCTTCAGGGACTAATTGTGCCTGGGGTCTGGACAGTTCTCCTTCCTCGGTGCTCATGGCAGGTGTTACCCACAACCGTCGGCTGGGCTAGGGGAAGATGCTGGCACTGTGAGTCAGCTCCAGCCTTGGACCCCAAGAAGCAGGACAGGCCTGAGGCCCAGGCCCACCAAATGCTGCCAAAGCCTCAGAAGTCTAGTCCAGACTCCCAGAAGAGACCAGCTTGGTGCAGCCCAGGCTTTGAGAGAGGGATGGGGCTGTTCCCAAACCCAGAGAGATTCTGGGATGAGAAGGGCACCCAGGGACCACTAGCTGGCAAAGGGAGTGAAAGGTGCACCCAGCACACCTGGCCCTTGGGCTCCAAGTGGGGCAGTGGCTCCAGTTTCCTAACTTGGCTCAAGCAAGGGAGCCTCCTGTCACCCACTGTGCCTGCTGAGTCTTTCAGGATCAAACCTTAGGGCCTAGAAGGGCTTTGTGTTTCCTTCGGGGTCACTGGAGGTTTAGTGTCCTATTGCCACTATTGAAAGAGGCAGGAGGCAGAAAAATATCTAGGCAGACAGGGACAGATCCCTGGTGAAACCACCTCCAAACCAAAGATAGTTTAAAGCCTGAAAGCCAAGCTACAAGTCAAATCCACAAACCAGATTAAGAACCTGTCATCCCATTTGGCATGCTTTCCCCTGATTGATCCCCACCCTTCACCTATTTTACATATACCTACCTACCATTCCCTAATTGGTTTTTTACACTGTCATGCCCACCTTTGAGTGGTGCCTTTGTTTTAACCTTTATTGCATACTCACAAGCCAATCAGCATGCACTCCCCATTCTGAGTCCATAAAAGCCCTGGACTCACTGCCCAATTTGGGGTGCAGGACCACTGTCATGTACTCTCTTTGCTGAGAGCTGTTCCATCACTCAACAAAATATTCTCTGTCTGCAAGTCATGGAAGCTTGGAAAGAAAAAAAAAAAAAGAAAAAAATTCTCTGTCCTCCTCAACCTTTGATTGTCAGCACATCCTCATTCTTCTTGGACTTGGGACAAGAGCCTGGGACTCACCAAGTGAGGCTACAAAAAAAGCTACAACAGTGGTGGGGCTGAGCCAGCGCTGGAGCTACAGGACAGAGCAGGCAATGGGGCTGACATCTGCCTAGACAGGGGTATCACTGGCTGGGAGTCTCTGGCTGGCAGAATGACCAAGAAAAATCCTATGTCACTATCACAAATCACCACAAACTGTGGGTTTAGAACAACACCCATATATTTGCTTACAGTTCTGGAGTTCAGAAGTTTGAAATCAGTTTCAGCGGGTGGAAATGAGTGTTCACAGCACTGCGCTCCCTCCAGAGGCTCTTGGGGAAGCTGCTCCCCACCTTTTCCAGCTTCTCATGCTGTCTTCCTTGCACTCCTTAGCCTCCTTCTTCCAAATGCAGTAGAGCATCAGCAAATCTTTCTCTGATGAGAGCTTCACTCTCAGTTAAGGAGGGCAGGCTAGGCTGGGTGCCATGGCTCACACCTATAATCTGAGCATTTGGGGAGGCCGAGGAGGGAGGATCACTTGAGTCCAGGAGTTTGAGAACAGCCTGGGCAAGATGGCAAAACCCTGTTTCTACAAAAATGTAGGGTCCAGCTCTACAGGATTCTGTGAGCTGCTCCCGGCTAGTGCGGAAATGAGAAATTGTAGAAATAAAAGACACAAGACACAGAGATAGAGAAAACAGAGTTTGGGCCCAGGGGTCCACTGCTACCCAAATCTCAGAGACCAGCAGTGGCCCCAAATGCCGAGTTGCAAATCTGGGGGCAGGGTAGGTAGGGTATGGCCTTGGTGGTCAGTGACTGGGGGCAGGGTAGATAGGACATGGCAGTGATAGGGTCAAGTACATCACATGTCATTCAGGTAGGGGCTTAGGAATTTCTGGCGCCCGAAGTGAGGTAAGGAGCATAATGCATCAGCGTCTTTTCCACACTTATCAAGAAAGAACTAAAACATTAACATTTATATTACTATTACTGACTATCTTCTCTAAGACAAAAGGAACCAGGTGCAGAAGTAGAACATAAGAGTAGACATGGAACGTGACTACTGAAGCACAGCATCACATAGAGACAGTTAAGCCCCCACATGTCTGTGGGCCTACCTGACAGCCATCAGGCCTTGCCACAAAAGCTTGGAGAATCGGAATTTTCTCCCAACTTCCCCAGGAAGGAGATGTTTCAGCCATTTTGGACATTTCCTTCCCTAGCCAGCTAAACAGAGGGCGCTTTCACAGCACTGGCACTGCCGCACAGCTGAGGCGCCCTCCAGCAGCCCTTATGTGGGCGTGACAGAGGGCTTAGAACATCTTGCCTTAGTGTCGTTCATTTCACAATGTCACCCCAGGTTCACACTTCTGACCTGATAGGCATTCGTAAAGGAACTAAGATCACCTATGAATAACTGAGATCACCTATGAATAACTAATAACTACTACGGTTATATTTCTAATTACTTTCTTCTTCATTATTTATATGGAAATAGGATGAGACCTTTTGCTTCTGCCTGGACGCTTATGGGATCTCCCCGCTACACAAAAATAAAAACATTAGCTGAGTGTGGTGGTGGCGCACCTGTAGTCTCAGCTAATCCAGAGGCTGAGGTGGGAGGATTGCTTGAACCCAGAAGTTTGAGACCAGCCTGGGCAAGATGGTGGAACCCTGTCTCTACAAAAATAAATATATTAGCTGAGTGTGGTGGTGGCGCACCTGTAATCTCAGCTAATCTGGAGGCTGAGGTGGGAGGATTGCTTGAACCTGGGAGTTTGAGGCTGCAGTAAACTATGATTGCACCACCGAAGTACAGCCTGGGCCATATAGCAAGACCCTGTCTCTAAAAAAAATTTTTTTAAATATAATTAATTTTTTTTTTTTGAGATGGAGTTTTGCTCTTGTTACCCAGGCTGGAGTGCAATGGTGCGATCTCAGCTCACCACAACCTCCACCTCCTGGGTTCAGGCAATTCTCCTGCCTCAGCCTCCTGAGTAGCTGGGATTACAGGCATGCGCCACCATGCCCAGCTAATTTTTTGTATTTTAGTAGAGACGGGGTTGCACCATGTTGACCAGGATGGTCTTGATCTCTTGACCTCAGCCTCCACCCGCCTGATCCACCCACCTCAGCCTCCCAAAGTGCTGGGATTACAGGCGTGAGCCACTGTGCCCGACCTAATATAATTAAATTTTTAAAAGGAGGGCAGCCTGACCTGGATGAAGGGAGGTTCCCCAAAATCTTTTGGGTGCTGGTTCAGCGTTCTTGCTCTTGCTCAATTTAGTTCAGGGAGAAGGCAGCGCTGACCACGTTCAAGTCAATGGAGACCCTCACAGCAGGCATCAGACTCCACCATGCTCCTGCCTTCCTCTGGTAGAACAGTTGGGGAGGCTTCTGGGACAAGAGAGGATTCCACCCTATTGTCACTGTCTGGGGTACACACTTGGGCCTGACCCCACATTGAGGATGGCCTGCCCACAGTGACAGCCAATGTGAGACCAGGACCATGGCTGCAGCCATGAGGCCTCTGTGTACCACAGCTACTGGAGTTCCAGTAGGTGAGCCCCTCTTGTTCCTGGGAATCAGGTCCCTGGAACGTGGACCTGATTATCAGCTGGACACCTGGGCAGGATCATAGCTCTGGATTCAACCCAGAGGTGATACTTGCTGGCTGGGTGACTGTGGGTAGCCATTGTCTCCTAGCTGGGAAGTAGGAAGTGGGATGACAGTAGCTGGGCTGATTATCATGAATCCTTCCTTGAGGAGCAGTCCAAGAAGCATTCTGTCCATGGACCTCCACCTTCCACTGCAGTCCCCACAGGAGGGGGCAGCAACCTTTTCCTTTATTGAGAATGTGACACACAGTCCTGGCTGGGTTTGAGGAGCGCTTGAATTAAGGGCAGCCTCACTCCTGTCCTAGTTGAGGGGCTCTCCCTAAAATGAACGATTCCTACTTCTCTTTAGTTAAAAAAAAAATTAAATTTGGCTAGGTGGGGTGCTTCATGCCTGTAACCCCAGATCTTTGGGAGGCCAAGGTGGGTGGATCACCTGAGGTCAGGAGTTCAAGACCAGCCTGGCCAATATGGGGAAACCTCATCTCTACTAAAAACACAAAAATTAGCAAGGCATGATGGCATACACCTATAATCCCAGCTACTCGGGAGGCTGAGGCAGGAGAATCGCTTGAACCCAGGAGGCAGAGGTTGCAGTGAGCTGAGATCGTGCCATTGCACTCCACCCAGGCAACATTGCAAGACTCCATCTCAAAAAAAAAGTAGGTCTGCTCCAGGCCAAACATTTATTTTGTTGTTGTTATTTTTTTTTAATGAAGTCTCGCTCTGTCATCCAGGCTGCAGTGTAGTGGCATAATCTCTGCTCATTGCAACTTCTGCCTCCATTTCAAGTGATTCTCCTGCCTCAGCCTCCCGAGTAGCTGGGACTACAGGCATGCATCACCATGCCTAATTAAACTTTTTCTTTTTTCTTTCTTTCTTTTTTAAATTTTAATTGTATTTTTTTATTTTGTTTCTTTTTTAAAGACGGGGTTTCACCATGCTGGTCAGGCTGGTCTTGAACTCCCAACCTCAGGTGATCTGCCCACCTTGGCCTCCAAAGTGCTTGGATTACAGGCGTGAGCCACCACGCCAGGCCAAACGTTTTCTTTTTAATTAATTAATTATTATTATTATTTTCTTTTCTATTTTAACAGGTTCATGTTCTATGATGTAAATTATTATTTTTAAAGACAGGGTCTCACTGTGTTGCCCAGGCTGGAGTGCAGTGGTGCAGTCATAGCTCGCTGCAGCCTTGAACGCTTGTGCCCAAGTGATCCTCCTGCCTTAGCCTCCCAAGCAGCTGCGACTAAGGTGCATGCCACCAGGTCTGGCTAATTGTTTTTTGTACTTTCTGTAGAGATGGGGGCTGAATGGGTGGGAGTGGGGGTCGGGTGACTCATTATGTTTCCCGGGCTGTTCTCCAACTCCCAGACCTAAGCAATCGTCCAACCTCAGCCTCCCAAAGCGCTGGGATTACAGGTGGGAGCCACCCTGCCTAGCTAATGTTCCTGTTTCTCTTGTCCAGAGCTGGAGTCCAGCCTGATTCTCACCCACAGGCTGTAACCCATGAGCCCTAAGAGAAGTGCTGAAGACCAGAAAGGCCCAAATCCGGGGGTAGGGGTGTTTGGTCCTCTCCACTGGGGCGCAGGCAGAGAGGCAAGGAGAGAGACCCTTCTTGACTCAGTGGAATTTCCCGAAGCCACAGGAGGCTTGGAAACCCCGTTTCCAAGGCTGGGCCCGGTGGCTCACACTTGTAATCCCAGCACTTTGGGAGGCCGAGGCGGGTAGATGGCTCAAGCTCAGGAGATCGAGACCAGCCTGGGCAATATGGCGAAACCCCCGTCTCCAAAAAATACAATAGTCTGCGTGGTGCACCCGCCTGTAGTCCCGGCTACTCGGAAGGCTGAGGGAGGATCACTTGAGGCTGGGAGGCAGAGGTTGCAGTGAGCCGAGATCATCCCACTGCATTCCAGCCTGGAAGACAGAGCCAGACCCTATCTCAAAAAATAACAAGGAAAGCCCGCTTGCGATTTTGCCCACGCGGAGGGGCTGAAGCAGCAGATGGGCTTGGGGATCTTCCGCTCCACCTCCAGGACCTCTCCACTCCTGGGCTTTTCCAGGCGCAGCCCCGGGGTGGCCCGCCCAGCGCCCAGGAGAGGGGCGGGACCGGAGGCGGAGTGGGCGGAGTTCGACCTGAGGCAGGTAGAGGCGGGGCTCCGGCGGTGGGGGCGGAGTCTGGTGGTGGGCGCGGCCACAGCCACGGGATGGGGGCGGAGTTCCGTCTGGGGCGGGGCGGGGCGGGGCGGGGCGGAGAGGGAGCTGCGGAACTCCGGTTTCAGGGCGGGGCCCCAGCCTCTGGGCGGAGATCCGCTGTCGCGTTCCACCCTTCCGGCCCGGTGTTCTATCCACCGCCTCCACCTTCCATCCGGCGCCTGCTTTCGGCACGACGGTCGCCGCGTTCCATCGTCGCGCGGCCCTTCGGGCGCCCGATCCCGCAATGTCGGGCCCCAACGGGGACCTGGGGATGCCGGTGGAGGCGGGAGCGGAAGGCGAGGATGACGGCTTCGGGGAAGCAGGTGACCCGAGGGGGCTGCTGGAGCAACCTTGCTTTTTCAGGGCTGCCCTCCCGGAAAGGGGAATCGGGATAGGGTCTTGGAAGGGACCAAAGAGTCCACCCCATTCCACCTCCGGAGTTGTAGGTGCTGGCTCGGATGCAGGGCGAGCACCCGCGAGCCCCGTGAGAGCTGCGGATCACCAGCCCTGTTTTACAGATGGGGAAACTGAGGCAGCTTCGGGGACACTCGCCCTTGTGGGCCTTGCTCCAGCCACTTCCTTCAGTCCCAGGGGAGACCGAGGCACCTCAGGGAGACGGGGTTGGCTTAGCCGGCTTGACTTAGCGAAGGGGCAGGACTGGGCGTGGGGTGGGGGTGCGGGGGGTGCCGCTCTGCTGACTCAGCATTCCCAGCCACTTGATTTTGCGGGTGTAGCCTCACACCCTTGCCAAATGTGAGGAGCTTACAGAGCGGCCTTTTGCGTGCAGGGGTTGGGTGTGGAGAGAGAACCATCAGCTCCCTTCTAACCTTCTTCAGCCTCAGTTTCCCCATCTATAAAATAGGAATAATGATTCGTGTCTCCTGCACTGGGATGTGTCAGAATTAAATGCAAAAAATAAACAGAAAATACTTAAAAGGTTCTAGCATGCAAGAGTTCAGTAAATGGTTATTGTCATTCTCTTTGGTATAGTCAAGATTGGTATATTAACATACCCTGAGGATTTAGTAAATGTGGGGTAATTATGGCGCATGCTTTTTGTCTGGGGTAACAGCTTTATTGAGCTATACAACTTACCCATTTAAAGTGTACAGTTCAGTGGGCTTTTGTGTATTCCCAGGGTTGTTAATCCATCACCACTATAGTTCTAGGTAAGTTTGCATTGGCTAGTGCTGGTGGGAGCATAAGGAAGAGCCTCCCAGGAGGTCACATTGAGTGGATGTTGGCAGACAGGACTTAGAACTGTGGGAAGGAGGGTGTCCCAGGCAGAAGAAAAGGCTTGGAACTGGGAAAGTACCCTTGACACAGATAAAGCCTGGGCTGGAGTGGTGTGGGGGAACCTGCCTCCCTCATCCCTCCTTCAGCCTGTATCCCAGGACACAGAATTCGAAATATTGATAATAATGACCATCCACTAAGTACCTGCTGTGGCCAGATGTGAACTTTTTTCTTTTTTCTGAGACAGAGTCTTGCTCTGTTACCCAAGCTGGAGTACAGTGGCATGATCTCGGCTCACTGCAACCTCCACCTTTTGCGTTCAAGCAATTCTCATGCTTTAGCCTCCCAAGTAGCTGGGACTACAGGCACCTGCCACCACACCTGGCTAATTTGTATGTTGTTGTTTTTTTTTTTTTTTTCATAGAGATGGTGTTTTGCCATGTTGGCCAGGCTGGTCTTGAACTCCTGACCTCAGGAGATTCGCCTGCTCAGTTTCCCAAAGTGCTGGGATTTACAGGCATGAGCCACTGTGCTGGCCACTGTCTGAAACCTTGATATGTTTGAATCCTCACAACCACACCATTATTTTCTTTTTTCCAGAAAGGTGCAACAACTTGCTGGGGTAAAGCAGAGCTGGAACTCAAACCCAAGTGCCTCTGACCCCCAAGTCCAGTCTTAAGTTTCGGCTCTGTTACCAACCTGAAGGATCCTGGGCAAGTTCCTTCCTTCTGAGGCCTCGGTTTCCCTAGCTATACCATGAGTGGGTTGGACGTTAAGATGCAGCCAATTTCCCAGGACTCTGTCCTCTGTGAGGGTGGCCAGCTCTGGGCAATGGTGCCGTTCCCCAGAATGCAGGCACATGTGCACCCATAACCCAGATACACCCCTCCAGCCCTGGCCTCTGCCAGCCTCCACCGGCTGCTGCTTCTTCCTTGGTCTCAAGCTGGCAGCCGAGTGTATCTGAGTCACGGGCTGGCTCAGAACTGAGTCCCGCAGTGGGCACAGGCCCAGACCTTGAGTCCTCAGGGACACTGTGTTGCTGAAAGAGAGTGACGGTTTCTAGTGGAGATCAGGGAAGACTTCTTGGAGGAGGCATTTGGATCTGGTCCTTGAAGGGCGGTTGTGGTTGAGGCATTCTAGGTTGCAGGGACAGTTGAGCAATGGCAGAGAGGCTGGAAAGTCAGAGGCTCCATTCATTCACTCACTCAGTCAATCAACAGATGCTTATTGCAACACTGAGAGCAGCAGGGAGCCAGCAGCGAACACAATACTGTTCACCTCCCATGGGGAAACAGAACAGCACTCAGATAAGCACAGTGGTCAATCCTGGAGGGAGAGCCGTGGAGGGCTGAGGAGGGCTAGGGGCTCAGCATGGAGGCCTGATCCAGTCTGGAGCATTGGATGGGCTCCCAGTGGTGACATCCATACTGAGACTTGAAGGATGAGTGGGACTCATCCAGGAGGAGAGGAGGGAAGGAAGATGGGAGGACTCAGCACATTCCAGGCAGAGACAGCAGCATGTTCAAAGGGCCTGAAGTAGGTAAAGGCAGGTGTGAGAGAGGAAAGGAAGAGGCAGGGCTAGCAGGGAGGCAGGGGCTAGGAGACTCCACTGGGTGTTTTATCCCAAGGGAGCCAGAAGGGCTGGATAACAGGGCCCACCTGGGGACAGAGGGCTTGATTCTCCAACTCAGGAATGTGGGCTCTGGCCACTAAGCAGCTGCTGCAGGAAGTGCAGAGACCTGGCACCTGGCAGGACTTCCCAGGTAGGACACCGGCTCACCACCCTGTGACCACCCTAACCCCAGAAAAAAGGATGCAGTACTACGGTGTCATTCATTCAAAGTGATTCCTCTTTTGGTATCCACCCCCATTTTCCAGATGGTGACACTGAGGCTCAGGAAGGAGTAGGGACTTGCACAAAGCCCTCTGGGAAGCAGGCTGGGAAACAGTGGAGGGAGGGTGTCCATTAGCCCCAAGGAGACACATGATGTGGGCTCTTTCACCTTCCTCCCAGAATACGCCGCCATCAACTCCATGCTGGACCAGATCAACTCCTGTCTGGACCACCTGGAGGAGAAGAATGACCACCTCCACGCCCGCCTCCAGGAGCTGCTGGAGTCCAACCGGCAGACACGCCTGGAGTTCCAGCAGCAACTCGGGGAGGACCCCAGCGATGCCAGCCCCTAGGCTCCAAGAGTCCCCAACCGGGCCCCCACCCTGCCTCCCTGGGCTAGACTCTGGCCTGGGTACTCACCCCCTGGCTTAGACACCTTCTCAAGGGTTGGCCTTCAGGGTCCCTGGGTGGGTCTGCCTGCCTGGTCCACCCTTCTGGCCACTCCCCTTGGCCTATCTGGGCCAGCCCCCACTGCCTGGCATTCCCTCCTGGGGCCAAGAGTGGGCCTGCAACCCACCCACTTGCCTGCCCACCCAACTCCTGGGCACTCCCCACTCTGCCCAGGCCTTGAGTGTCCAAATTAAACGGGTCTCCCACACCGCGGTGCCTCTGTCCTCTGTATCTCAGGATGAGAACCCCAGCAGCTGCTGGAGGCGAACAGGGCAGTCTAGGTGCTCAGGTGTTGATCATGCACTGGTGGCTCAGAGGCCAGGTGGTGGGGAGCTGGGGTTCTTGGCCGCCTGTACTTCTGAACACAGAAGGTGCAGGTGAGGACAAGGCTTCTTTCCTACCTGGTACATTCCTGGCCAGCAGCTGCTTCCTAGCCCAGAAGAGAGGTTGAGATTGTTGGACATGCTGTGTGACCTTGTGTGATGTTCTCAGCCTCTCTGGGTACTAGGGCCTTTCACCAAGACAACCAATGCCAAGACAGGCTATGCAACCTCAGCACTGCCCTCCCACTCTTGGCCTGTCTCCCCAGTAACAGGGTTGTTCTGCTTGTTTATCTCTATGGGTCTTTCTAATGAGGAAATAGCAGAAGTAAAGGGCCAACTCAGCCTGGGCCCCATCCGCCCATGATTCATCTTAGGGTCGCCTGACCAGGAGGGTGGGGTGCCTGCTGGTAAACCAAGAAGAAAACCAGAGGGCCTGAGCAGCAAGGATCCCCGTCCTGCACTCAAAGGGTGCAGCTGGAGAGACAGGCCAGCACAGGGATCGGAGAGCTCAGGCCCAGGTCAAATCCCAGCCACTTACCAACTGTGTGGCCTTCAGCAAGTCACTTGACTTTGCTAGACCTCCAGCCAAAGGAACTTCCCCAGCTTATTAAGGTTATTAAGAGGGAAACTTGGCCAGGCACAGTGGCTCACACTTATAATCCCAGCAGTTTGGAAGGCCAAGGTGGGTGGATTGCTTGAGCCCAAGAATTCAACACCAGCCTGGGCAACATGCCAAAACCCCATCTCTACCAAAAACAAGAAAAATTAGCCGGGCGTGGTGGCGCATGCCTGTGGTCCCAGCTACTCAGGAAGCTGAGGTGGGAGGATGGCTTAAGACTGGGAGGCAGAGGTTGCAGTGAGCCAAGATTGGTACCACCGTACTGCAGAGTTTGCGCAACAGAGCAAGACACTGCCTCAAAAAATAAAAAATTGGCTGGGTGCGGTGGCTCATGCCTGTAATCCCAGGACTTTGGGAGGCTAAGGTGGGCGGATCATTTAAGGTCAGGAGTTTGAGACCAGCCTGGCCAACACGGCAAAACCCCATCTCTACTAAAAATGCAAAAAATTACTCAAGTGTGGTGGCGTGCACCTGTAATCCCAGCTACTTGGGAAGCTGAGGTAGGAGAATCACTTTAACCTGGGAGGTGGAGGTTGCAGTGAGCTGAGATTGTGAAATTACACTGTACCCTGAGAGACACAGCAAGCCTTGGTCTCAAAAAATTTAAATTTACATTAAAAATTTTTTTTCTTGGCCAGGCACGGTGGCTCACACCTGTAATTCTAGCACTTTGGAAGGCTGAGGTGGGTGGATCATCTGAGGTCGGGAGTTCAAGCCCGGCCATCATGGTGAAACCCTATCTTAAAAAAAAAAAAAATTTTTTTTCTTTTTTTTTTTTAGATAGAGTTGCCCAGGCTGGAGTGCAATGGCACGATCTCAGCTCACTGCAACCTGTCTCCCAGGTTGAAGCAATTCTCCTGCCTCACTGCCTCAGCCTCCCAAGTAGCTGGGATTATAGGTGTATGCCACTAGGCCTGGCTAATTTCTGTATTTTTATTAGAGATGGGCTTTTTCCATGTTGGTCAGGCTGGTCTCAAACTCCTGACCTCAGGTGATCTGCCCGCCTTAGCCTCCCAAAGTGCTGGGATTACAGGCATGAGCCACTGCCCCAGCCCAAAAATTAAAAATTTTAAAAGAGGGAAACCGAAGCTCAGACAGGTGAAGTGCCTTGTGAACCAGAGTCCCTGGTTCCCAGGGAGCCTGTCCGGCCTTCCAGTTCTGCCCCCACCTGGCCCAGAGAGGCTTGGGTGCTGGCTGAGAGCTGGCTGGGGTGCCCCCCTTCCCCTATCCACCCAGACAGAAGTACTGGTGGGGACTGCACAGCCAAACTACCTTGTTTTATTGGATTTTGAGTAAAAACAACCTTGTCAAAGTTTCCAGGCAGACTCCTAAAAAGCATTAGCAGATTTGGACCCAGGCAGGCCAGGCACAGGGAGGTCCCTCTATCAGGTTTTGAGGCGGGTCGAGCGCCGAGGTAGTGGGGGCTGGGAGGATCGAGCCGTCACCTTGCTGGGTGTTTTGTCGTGGGTGCTGGGCTGGGAGGGTGGGCGGCCGCCGGAGGCAAACAGGGCTGTCAAAGCATTCCGGGCGTTGATTGCGCACCGGCGGCTCACAGGTCGGGTGGTGGGGCTGGGGTTCTTGGCCGCCTTGTATTTCTAGATACAGAAGATGCAGGTAAGGTCAGGATCTCCTCCCTATGTGGTATGCTCCTGACCAGCAGCGACTTCCCCAGCTCTGGCTGAGACAGTATTAGTGTGCTGTGTGACCATATGTGATGCACTTGGCCTCTCTGGGCCAAGGCTCTGGAGCTAACAGCCTGGCCCTCAGCATTCCCTGGACCAATAAGAGCCCAATCCCACCCCAGCTCTGATTCTCTCCCTGCTGGTGCAGGGGTAGTCCCTGGAGGTTGAGGCCCAGCACAAGAGGGAGTGACCACTAGCCACCTGGATCAGCTTGGATGAGACTGAGTCCATGGGCTGGGGAGGAAGGGGCAGGATGTCCGGCTCACCTGCAGGTTCTCAAAGTGGGCCAAGGACTTGCAGTGGGAGAGCTGAGCCCCTGAGTTGCTGTGATAGAACTTGTGGCAGACACGGCAGACGTAGCCCATCACAGGCACCAGGAAATCCACACCTGTGGGAGGAGGGCCTGCACTTGCATCCCCGTACCAGCGAGGTGTCCCTCCCTTTCTAGGGGCCTGTGTGCTCCCCCACCCTCTAGGTAGGAGCAGAAGAGAAGGCTTCTCAGCCAGAATGCCACAGGTGGCATCTGGGGGGGTCATCTGGAGGCCAGGCCCAAGGGCTGAAGCTTCTGCAGGTGGGCTCGGGGCTGGGGCCTTACCATAGGCAGTATTGGGGCTGTAGGTCTCTGAGCCCTTCCACTCCTCTATGGATATATCTCTGGACCTCACCTGAAAACATGCAAACGTGGACCTCGGATCTGGCTTCCCCTAACACCTCCCAGACACAGGTGAGGGACTTGGAGCCCTCCAACGCCTTGGACACACAAAATCCCCTTGATTTCCAGGAGGTAGTGAGTGGGGTTCTCTGAGCATTTGCACATGGTGATCTTTCCTCCCAGAGTGCTCTTCCCAATCTATACTTTCTAGCCCCCTCCTCCAGGAAGCCATCCTGCTCCTACAGGGCCATAATCCACATCAGGTGTGCCCAAGACGTGTCATCTGACTCAATCTTCATTACAACCCTCCATTTTACTAAGAAAAAACTGAGGCGCAGGGACATTAACTCACTTGTCTAGGGTTGCACAGCTGGTTTGTGGAGGAGCTGGGCAGGAGCTAAGCCATAATTCATACTCTTTTTTTTTTTTTTTTTTGAGATGGGCTCTGTTGCCCAGGCTGTAGTGCAGTGGCACGATCTCAGTTCACTGCAACCTCTGCCTCCCAGGTTCAAGTGATTCTTCTGCCTCAGCCTCCCCAGTAGCTAGATTACAGGCACATGCCACCATGCCCAGCTAATTTTTGTATTTTCAGTAGAGACCAGGTTTCACCATATTGGCCAGGCTGGTCTCGAACTCCTGACCTCATGATCTACCCACCTCAGCTTCCCAAAGTGCTGGGATTACAGGCGTGAGCCACTGTGCCCGGCCCATAGTTCACACTCTTAACCATGGGCCTTCTTGTAGCTCTGTGATCAAGAAGTGATCACATACTGCAGTGATCTTGGTCACATACTAGGACCATACTGCAGTGATCTTGGTCCTAGGTACTGGATTTCAGGGGATCAGAGATTCTGCATTCACCTGCTGGATGTGAGCCCCTTCCAGATGAGGTCATCTGACTCTGGCCACATCTACCCTACCAGGCCTAGCAGTGCCCTCCATTACTCACCAGGCAAAGATATGTGGCTTCTAAGGACAACCACCCACATCTGCTAAGCCCTTCCCAGGACCAAGCCTTGGGCTTCCCTTATAGTTCAAGTTGGGATTGTTACTTGGGATTGTTACTTCTGAGTAGAGGCAACTGAGGCTCAGAGAGGCCAAGTGGCTTGCCAGAGATGATGCCACTATTGAGCAACAAAGTAGGACCTCATATTACTCTGCCTAGGACTGCAGGCCAACCCCACTACCCTTCCTCCCAGCTCCTCAATGCCCCACTTTGGCTGCCACAGCCCATGAGCAGCCCCTCACCACCCTGGACTGTAACTGGGGCAGCCTCAGTGAGGGCAAGGATCAGACCTTGGCCCTTATGAGTCCCTGTATCCAGCACCAGGGCCCAACCCAAACACATGCTCTGGAAACATCTGTTAAACTGCAAAGAATCTGGCTGGGCAAATCACGCCTATAATCCCAGCGCTTTGGGAGGCCTAGGCGGGTGGATCACCCGAGGTCAGGAGTTTGAGCCCAGGCTGGCCAACATGGTGAAACCCCATCTCTACTAAAAATACAAAAATTAACCAGGCATGGTGGCGGGTGCCTGTGTCCCTACTACTTGGGAGGCTGACACAAGAGAATTGCTTCAACCCAGTAGGCAGAGGTTGCAGTGAGCCAAGATCATGCCATTGCACTCCAGCCTCAGGAGTAGAGGCTTAAAAAAAAAAAAAAAAAAAAAAATGCCAGGTGCAGTGGCTCATGCCTATAATCCCAGCACTTTGGGAGGCCAAGGTGGGTGAATCACCTCAGGTCAGGAGTTCGAGGCCAGCCTGGCCAACATAGTAAACCCTGCCTCTACTAAAAATACAAACATTAGCCAGGGGTGGTAGGCACCTGTGATCCCAGCCACTCAGGAGGCCGTGGCAGGAGAATCACATGACTCCGGGAGGCAGAGGTTTCAGTGAGCTGAGATTGCGCCATTGCACTCCAGCCTGGGCAATAGAGCAAGACTCTGTCTCACAAACAAACAAACAAAAAATCCACAAAGAATCCAAGCTCCTCGAGCTCCTCATTCATGGGAGACAGGGTAGCTGTGGCATTAGAAATGTGAAGTCTTCCTTCCTGCCATACAATCTGATGAGATTCAGCCAGGATAGTGCCAGGTACACCACATGCCTGGCACACAGTAAGTACTCAAAAAGATGTCTGCTGCTGTCACCCTCACTATTATCGTCACCATCATCTGCCCTTTCCTTTGCACACCACACAGTTTCCCACCTCTGTGCCTTTAGTGATGCTGTTTCCTTTCCCTTCCTCCACACATGTCCAAATTCCAGTCAGGCTCTGCATATTTTAACTGCCACTCTCTGGTCATCATCCATAATTACACAGTCATGCAGAAAGCAGTTGATAGTAATAATAGTTGTGGCATGCATTAGTGCCCACAGACGCCAGCACAGTGTCTGGTCTCTAGGAGGTGAAGTGAGGTCCATCCTGGGCTGGGAATCTGGCACCAAGCCTGCCTCCCACGCCCTCCCCCCAGCACCTGCTTGCAGAATTCCTCCTCAACCTCGATTTCTTCTTCATCCTCGTCATCCTCTTCCTCTTCTTCATCACCCTCAAAGCAACCCACAGCGTCCACTGTAATGAAGTGGTCCTCATCTTGGCAAGCAATCTCCTTCTCAAGCGACTTCAGCTGCCCAGGGAGTAGGCAAGGGGCTCAGGTCAGCTCTGGACAGCCAAGGGGCCATGCCCACCCTACCCACCCTACCCCTGAGAGTCCCATTCCCTTCAGACCCACTGTGAGGTTGGGCTGGGATAAGCCTCAACTTGCTGCATGACCCGTGTCCTTCTAAGGGAGCTCAGGTTACCTCCTTGGCTTTGTCCTTGTGCCCCTGGGATTTCACGTGCTCCACAAACTTGCGAGGGGTTTTAAAGTAGCGGTTGCAAATGGTGCAGAAGGGTCGCAGGGATTGTTTGGCGATCTGGAAAAGGGCAGGTAGACCAAGCAGTGTCCCCAGCAAGCCCCTGACTAGCACCCGGGTGGGGCCCAGCAAGAGCTCCCCTCCCCCGGGCAGGCCCACCATGCCTGTAACAAGCCAGGCTGCGCTCCACCCCTGCACTGGAACATGGGCAAACACATCTTTCTCTTCATGATGTGGGTGGCTGGGAGATGGGATGGCAGATGGCAATACAGAGACAGGACAGACACAGAGAGAAGATGGGAGAGGGGACAGCTGCTCAAACAACCCCCGTGAGCCCCGTAGCTGAATGGCAGGGTGAGATGCTGCCTGGCCTACACTGGACAGATAGGGAACCTGAGCCCGAAGAAGAAACAAGACTGACTCGCCCAGAAACCCCATTGTGGGTTATGGTTGTGCAGGGGCAAAGAGGAACATGTACTTTCTCATCGGTCTCTGTGCTTCCTGGCCTCGTGCGGGCGCCCCTGCAGTGTGCAGGCCCTCCTACCTTGTGGTCCTGTGTCCTGCGGTGTTGGATCAGGTCCCCCATGTAGTAGAGCTGGCAGGTGTTGCACCAGCGCCTTGGTGGAGGCTCCCTGAATGACAACAGTAAAAGCGAAAAGAATGTGACGCCAGACAGCAACTGTCCTAGAATGCTCTGTAAGGTAATGAGATTCCAACAGCAGTTCCCACAGGATGCCTTAGGGAAGCCTCACAAAATGGTTCTGAGGTTCATCTGGATGAGTACTTAAGCAGAAATAACCAAGGAAGCTATAGGGGGAAGGGGAGTGAAGCACTGGGAACACCAACCTTTAACATAAAAACAAGCTATAGTAGATAAAACTGTGTCGTGTGATGTACATTGATAGTGTATCAGTGGGAAAAAGTTGGAAGTCCTAAACAGGTTCAAATATTGGTAAGAATTCTGCTTCGCCAGCCTGGGCAACATGGCAAAACCCTATCTCTAGTAAAACTACAAAAAACTGGCTAGGCAAGGTGGCTCATGCCTGTAAGCCCAGCACTTTGGGAGGCCGAGGTGAGTGGATCACGAAGTCAGGAGTTTGAGACCAGCTTGTACAAGATGGTGAAACTCCATCTCTACTAAAAAAAAAAAAATTAGCCGGGCGTGGTGGTGCACGCCTGTAATACCAACTACTCGGGAGGCTAAGGCAGGAAAATCGTTTGAACTCGCCCAGGAGGCAGAGGTTGTGGTGAGCTGAGATCCCACCACTGCACTGCAGCCTGGGCAACAAAGTGAGACTTCATCTCAAAAAAAAAAAAAAAAAAAAAAAAAGGCAGGGCACGGTGGCTCACACCTGTAATTCCAGCACTTTGGGAGGCCAAGGCAGGCAGATCACCTGAGGTCAGTAGTTTGAGACCATCGAGGCCAACACAATGAAACCCCATCTCTACTAAAAATACAAAAAAATTAGCCAGGCATTGTGGCAGGCACCTGCAATCCCAGCTACTCAGGAGGCTGAGGCAGGTTTGTCAAGGGAGAATCACTTGAACCTAGGAGGCGGAGGTTGCAGTGAGCCGAGATTGCGCCACTCCACTCCACCATAGGTGACAGAGCAAAACTCCATCTCAAAAACAAAAAAAAGTGTCTGAATCAGTGAAAATTAAGAACTCTCTAAAAAATATGCATTACACAATTTTTCATAAATTTTAGGGGGCACATAACCCCCATGTCCACTGGTGAAACCCTGGTAAGGAGCCCCTGCCGGGGGAGGCTGCTTAGAGACAGAAAGTGTTCATGGTGTCATGTAGCACAATTCAATTTTTTTTTTTTTTTTTTTTTTTGGTGCTGTGACTCAAATTCGAACTCAACTATTTATTTATTTTTATTTTATTTTATTTTTGAGATCAGAGTCTCACTCTGTCGCCCAGGCTGGAGTGCAGTGGCATGATCTCGGCTCACCACAACCTCTACCTCCCGGGTTCAAGCAATTCTCTGCCTCAGCCTCCCGAGTAACTGGGATTACAAGAGCCCACCACCATGCCTGCCTAATTTTTGTATTTTTAGTAGAGATGGGGTTTCACTATCTTGGCCAGGCTGGTTTTGAACTCCTGACCTTGTGATCCACCCACCTTGCCTCCCAAAGTGCTAGGAATACAGGTGTGAGCCACGGAGCCCAGCCCCAATTTTTATTTTTAAAGATTGTATAAATTCAGAAAGGATCACAAGAAGAACTAGGTCAAAACGTAAACAGTGTTTATCTCTGGGTAATGGGATTATGGGTGATTTTTATCTTGTGTGTCTGTGTCCTCATATTTTCACAACGTTATATAATGAGGGAATTATTTTTATAATCAGAAAAAAAAATTTTTAATCAAAAAAGGCACATCAGCCACACAGTGAAAGTACCAGGCTTTAGGCTTTAGGGACACTTACTGTCCTCAGCAAAATCTTCTTAATCCTGCTGCAAACAACGAAATCAGATCTTAAAGCAGCTTACGCCAGAGGGCAGCATTGCTGTGGAATTTTCCTTTCAAACACAGTTTTGTAAAGTTTGAATTTTTTTTTTTAAAGAGATAGGATCCTGCTCTGTTGCCCAGGCTGGAGTGCAGTGGCGCAATCATGGCTCACTGCAGCCTTGACCTGGGCTCAAGCGATCTTCCTGCCTCAGCCTCTCGAATAGCTAGGACTACAGCTGTGTGCATTAGCACACCCAGCTAATTTTATTTTATTTTTTGTAGAGATGGGGGGGGAGGGTCTTGCTCTGTTGCCCAGGCTGGTCTTGAACTTCTGGCAGAGTGATCCTCCTTCCTCAGCCTCCTTAAGTACTGAGATTACAAGTGTGAGCCATGATGCCAGTGCAAGTTTGAATTGATTTTGTTTTTTTGAGGCAGGGTCTCACTCTGTCATCCAGGCTGGAGTGCAGTGGCATGATCAAGGCTCACTACAGCCTCCACTTCCTGGGCTCAAGTAGTCCTCTCACCTCAGCCTCCTAAGTACCTGGGACTACAAGCGCACACCACCAGGCCTGGCTAATTTTTTATCGTTTGTAGAGACAGGGGTCTTATGACATGGGCTGGTTCTGAACTCCTTTTCTTTCTTTCTTTTTTTGTTTTTAAGATGGGGTTTCACCATGTTGGTCAGGCCAGTGTGACCTCAGGTGATCTGCCCGCCTGGGCCTCCAAAAGTGCTTGGATTACAGGCATGAGCCACCATGCCCAGCCTGGTTCTGAACTCCTAAATTCAAGCAATCCCTCCACCTCAGCCTCCCAAAGTGGCTCTTACAGGTATGAGCCACCATGCCAGCCTGGCACTATTTTTTAATGTGCATTTTGATCTCTGTAAGAGAAAATCACAATAAACAAAGAGAGGGTGGGGGAGAGAACATGTCATCAAACAGGCAGACACCTTGTGCCAGTGTTATGTCTGAGGCTATCCAGAAATTGGCAATGTAGGCTGAGCACAGTGGCTGGCGCCTGTAATCCCAGCACTTAAGAGGCCAAAGTGGGAGGATCACATGAGGTCAGAAGTTTGAGACCAGTCTGGATAACAAGGCAAAACCCTGTCTGTACTAAAAACACAAAAATTAGCTGGGCATGGTGGTGTGTACCTGTACCCAGCTACTTGGGAGGCTGAGGCATGAGAATTGCTTGAATCTGGAAGGCAGAGGTACAGTGAGCCGCGATCATGCCACTACACTCTAGCCTGGGCAACAGAGTGTGACTCCGTCTCAAGGAAAAAAAAAAAAAAAAGACCAGGTGTGGTGGCTCATGCCTATAATTCCAGCACTTTGGGAGGCCAAGGCAGGCGAATCACCCGAGGTCAGGAGTTCGAGACCAACTTGACCAACATGGTGAAATATCATCTCTACTAAAAATACAAAAATTAGCCGGATGTGGTGGTGCATGCCTCTAATCCCAGCTACTTGGGAGTTGCTTAAACCCAGGAGGTAGAGGTTGCAGTGACCTGAGATCTCACCACTACATTCCAGTCTGGGCAACAGAGTAAGACTCTGTCTCAAAAAAAAAAAAAAAAAGGAAAAAGAAATGGCCAAGGTAAGCAAGGGCGGTAGTTTACAGCACCTACCCTGTGGGCTTTGAGGACGGAGGAGAGGGGCACCTTCAGGCCCACCCTTAGGATCCACCCTTCAGCCCCATTCCTGGAAACACCCCCTTGCCTTCCACTGGGAAATGCATTTCCATGTGGTTCGAGTAGAGCTGGCCTGCCTAGGCCTAGCCAGTCAGAACACCCCATCCCTGGCCAGGGGACTGCTTCAGAAACGTGCAAGTGACCACAACCAGATCCACCAGCATTTTCCCTAGAAACGGTTCTATTACTGCAAATACAGGTGACTGCCCTTCCTTGGAGGTCACTGTGCAGGGAGGCTGGGGCTGTGGGTACCCAGTGCCCATTGTAGTGAGATATGAAGCCTCTCTAAGAAATGGTGTCCCCTGGGTCCAGCTGTATCTCTTGCCTTCCCACTTACCTAAGCCAGAAACATTGCTCCTTTTTGCTCAAGTTAATTTCTGTCTTATAGAAATTAGAATTTTCGTCACTTATAACTGCAAAGAACCCCCACTGATGCAGGACAGTATTGATGTCTTTGTGTTGGGAACCAGGGTGAGTTGGTTGTAGGTAGGGACTGGAGGGTTTTATTAGTTTTGTTTTGTTTTTGAGATGGAGTCTCACTCCGTGGCCCAGGTTGGAATGCAGTGCCGCGATCTCGGCTCACTGCAACTTCTGCCTCCCGATTCAAGCGATTCTCCTGCCTCAGCCTCCTGAGTAGCTGGACTACAGGCGCACACCATGATGCCCAGCTAATTTTGCATTTTTAGTAGAGAGGGGGTTTTGCCATGTTGGCCAGGCTGGTCTCAAACTCCTTACCCCAGGTGATCCACCCGCCTCAGCTTCCCAGAGTGCTGGGATTACAGGTCTGAGCCACTGTGCCTGACCATGATGTTCTTGATGGCCTTGGGGCCAAATAGGATTCAAGAGATGTCATGGGGGGACATCATTTGGAGAGGGTTTGCTGAATCCCGGACACCTGAAGCTTGTTAACAGCTTGTGCCACGTGTGTCCTTTTAGTTTTCTTCTGTATCAAAAGATCTATTTTTTTTTTTTAAAGATGGGGTTTCACCATGATGGCCAGGCTGGTCTTGAATCCTGACCTCAGGTGATCCACCCACCTCGGCCTCCCAAAGTGCTAGGATTACAGGCGTGAGCTACTGCGCCTGGCCACAAGATCTATTTTTATACAGACAAGCTCATTCTGAAGATGCAATTCTGAATCCTGTCTTACTGACATTGCATCACCTTTCCACATTATTACAAATTCCTCAGTTATCCTATTTATTCATTATTCCATAGCTGGACAAGCTTTAACCGATCTAACCAATCCCCTACTTTTGAGTATTTTAGATCATTTCCAGTTAGATTTTTTCAGCATTATACTAATTGCAAAGAACATCTTGGTGAATCATCATTCTCCCATGTTTATGATTATTTCACCCAAGGAGAAAACCACTCAAGGACACTCTTCTCAATGTGAGAAACAGCTAAAACAGAGACACAAGCTACCCTTGCAGAGAGGGAGCTCCCTGTCACACAAGACAGGCAAGCAGAGGCCAACCAAGAGCCCTTCCTGTCCCCTCAGCCCACCGGGGGAGTTTCAGATTGTGACCTCTCTAAAATCAGGACAGCACCAGTGACCACTGACTCAAGGGCCTATCCAGCCTATGAAAGTGATTTGCCCTCTGTAGGGTTTGTTTTATTTTGTTTCAATTCTGAACCAGCTGTTAACATTTTGAAACTGGGAGATTTCACATACAAACCTGGATTTCTTGATTCTTCTTAAAAATGAAGAGATCCGGAGCTGAGAAGCAGCTGTCTCATGAGACAGAGTGTGTCCCTGCTGTGTCCCTAGCTAACATGGTCCTGCTGCTGTGATGACATGTCCCAGCCCTTGCACACCTCTTCTACTGCCCAGAGAGTCCTGAAAGCACCTCCAGCTGTGGACCAGGCCTTCTCACACCACTCTAGTTCCAGACCCCAGGAAGGCTGACGTTTCTGATTAAACAGGCAGCCCCAGCGATGAAAGGGGGAGACACAGGGAAGTCCTGACCTTCCACCAGAAAAGAACCTGATCCTCAGCTTTGTCACCCCACAGCGGGGTCAGCACACATGCTGCAGGGGACTGGGGTCTGTGTCACAACCTGTCCTCTCCCACAGGGATGGTCATGCTGTTCCTGCATAGAGGGAACCTTAAGAGACTGTCATGAATTCCTGCACTATATCCCTCACCAAGCCCTGTTACAGACAGGGAAAACTGAGGTTCAAGGTCACCCAGTTAATAGTGTGAGGAGGCCTAGCTGGGAGGGCAATGCTTAACCCAAAGGTAGACCCTGCAGAGGGCAGATGCAGGCCTTGGCAGACAAGACTGCCTACCCCCCAGTACAGAGCTTCCACAGTCCCCTACTCACTCATCCTCTGTCTCCAGGACATCCCGGGGCACAGGAAGCAGGGACAGGAGGCAGGCTTGGCTCATATGCTGGATCTCTCCTAGCCGCTGCTGGTGCTGAGGCTCCGACATGTGGTCCTGGAACTCCTGCAGCAGGAGGGAGTCGGGGATGGGCCTGGGGCATGAGCCTGGGACAGTGGGCAAGGGTGGGGCCTGGGGAGGCAGACCCCAACCTCATCATGAGCCAATTTCTCTCACCACATATTTCTCTCATGTGGGCTACAGCAGCCATGATAAACTGAGACATGGAGTACATGCCAGCCCGAGCTTCTACCCCTCCTAGAGAATGTGTGAGTGTCTCAAAGACAATGAGCAGCCTGGTTAGCATCCAGGCCTCCAAGGCTCTGCAAGGTGAGGCACAGAGTGACAGAGCTCACAGCACCGGAGTAGTAATAATACAAGTACAATGCGATCATGACTACTACTACACTCACTTTGGGCCAGGCCTGCACTCAGGACTCCAGCGTCAAGTTGTTGAATCCCCACAACCACCCAATAAGGCAGGTTCTAAATCCTTTATTTTCTTTTCTTTGTTTTTTTTGAGACAGAGTCTCCCTCTATTTCCCAGGCTGGAGTGCAATGGTGCAATCTCGGCTCACTGCAACCTTCGCCTCCCGGGTTCAAGGGATTCTCCTGCCTCAGTCCCGAGTAGCTGGGATTACAGGCATTTGCCACCACGCCCAGCTAATTTTGTATTTTCAGTGGAGATGGGGTTTCTCCATGTTGGTCAGACTGGTCTCCAACTCCCGACCTCAGGTGATCCGCCTGCCTCAGCCTCCCAAAGTGCTGGGATTATAGGCATGCGCCATCAGGCCTGGCTCTAAGTTTCTTTGTCTGATGCATGAGGAAACAGGCACGGGGTGGAATTCGCTTTCCAAGGCCCCACGCTACTCAGAGCCAATATGAACCTGGTCTGCCTGACTTTCAAAACCTGCTTGAGCCCAAGAGGCCAGTGGGCTGAGATCATGCCACTGCATTCCAACCTGGGAGACAGAGGAAGACTCTGTCTCAAAAAAAAACAAAAACAAAACTGCCAAAACCTGCCTTCTTGGCTGATCAGGAAATGTTTCCAAGCAAATGCACGTCTGCTCAGGGCAGGGCCCAGTGCAGCCTGAGGCAGCCTTGGGAGAGCAGGCTGGCCTTTCCGTGGAGGCCCCACCCCTCCCCACCCTTATCTCCTGTATCAGTACCTGCTGGCTGGAGCAGCTGGTCTTGCAGATGTAGCAGAAGAACTGGAGGGTCTGCTTAGAGGGCGTGCTGGTAGCCGCAGGGGTGGAGAAGGTGGAGTCACTGGGGCGCGGCAGGGGTGTCAGAGGTACAGTGCTAAAGGCCCGGCTGTCACTGCTCTGCAGAATGGTGACCTTCAGGGAGCCCCCAGCGCCCCACACCTGCACCAGGAGCAGGAGCTGAGCTTCCACCAACTGTGTATTTACAGTGGCCCCCCCCCAGCACCCAACATCTACCAACACTGTCTCATCAGATCTTTCTGACAGGGAAACTGAGGCTCTGAGCTGTTAGGTCACAGGTAGAAAACACTGCAGTCAGGATGGGAACCCAGGTCATCCTAACTCTAAAGAACCACCCATCCCACCTCTTGTATAACAGATGGGTAAACTGAGACTCCTGGAAGGGGATGGGTTTGCCCCCAGTTATGCAGAGCTGGGAATGAAACCCCAGAGAGAGGCTTCCACTCTGTACTCTTTCCATGAGAGCAACATTACTCATGAGAGGAGACCGGGGCTTTGGCCTGGGGATGGGCAGGCTGGAAGGGATGGATGTGAAGACAGCACAACAGCAAGAGGGTCCCATCCAGAACAAACACTGTCAAGCCCAGCCTGTTCTGCCCCCCATCCTAGGCCGAGGGCCATCATCCCATTTCACAGTGGGGAAAACACAAGGAGGCCCTGAGGTGGCCTGGGGCACAAAGAGACCATCCCACCCCACTGGGCTCTGTGGCCTCGCACTGCCACATCAGCGCCTCTACCCACCCCCGGCATCTCTCTCACTCTGTTTTCACATTCTCCCACATCTAGGCCACTGGCCGGCTCCTTCTGGCTCTCTTCCATGCTGACTTGGGTGCTCACAGGCTCTGGCAAGGTCTTTTCCATGCCTGAAATGACAGATGTGCTCTGTTTCCTAGAGTGTATCTCCCACCCACCCCAGGCTCACGAGCTGCCTTCTCCTTCCACAGCCAGAACCTGCAGGCCCCCAGCATGGATCCCAGGCAGCACCCAGTCAGGGCTGGACAGCATCGGGGAGGAATGGAGGGTCTGAGCAGAGCTGTCCCATCACCAGACCAGCTGGGAGCCAATGTTCACTTACCTTCACCAGCTTCTACTGTATCAGGTGGCGTCTCCAGCCCGCAGACATGAACCCCAACTCGTGCTTGCTCTGGAGCCAGCACCGACACCTGTGGCTGGGTCTGAGGCTGCTCATCAGTCTGCTCTGGTAGCTGTACTGGCACCTGCACTGGGGGCTGCTCCTGTGGCTGGACCCTGGGCTGTGCTTGTATATGGACCTGTGGATATGTCTGTGTCTGGGCCTGCTTCTGCAGCTGCAGCTGCAACTGCCTTGGGGGCTGTGAATGTGCCTGGGGCTGAAGCCGCTTCTGTGGCTCTGCCTCCTGCTGCAGCTGCACCTCCTTTGGGGCCTGTGAACATGCCTGTGGCTGTACCTGTGGCTGCACCTGCTTCTGTGGCTCTGCCTCCTGCTGCAGCTGTGGCTGCACCTGCTTCTGTTGCGGGACTAAGTGCTCTGGAGAAGTCTGTGTTTGTGCCTGCTTCTGCAGCTTTGGCTGCACCGGGGTGTCTGTGGGTGGTATCCGTGGCTGAGTCTGTGGCTGCACCTGGGCCTGGACCTGCAGGACCCGTGGCTGGAATCGTGGCAGCACTTGGGCTTCCAGGGGCTCAGGCAGCAGGTCTGGTGTCTGTGTCTGCTTTGGTACTGTCATCCGGGCCTGTGGCTGGACCTTCACCTGTAGCTGCCCCAGAGGTCCCTTCTCTGTGAGCTCTTCTGAGCTAGGAAGGATCAAAAAGAATATCCAAGTCACATCTTCAAAGAGGCCCCAGGGGCTCCCAAGAAAGGCCAAAACTAGGCTGAGCATGGTGGCTCGCAGCTGTAATCCCAGCACTTTGGGAGGCTGAGGTAGATGGACAATTTGAGGTCAGGAGTTTGAGACCAGCATGGTCAACATGGTTTCACCTGGGATTATAGGCGTGAGCCACTGTGCCCAGCCCAAGACTCAGTTTCTATTGCTGGCTCTACCACTTATAAGCTGGGGATTTGGACAAACTCCTTTGGCTGTCTAGGCCTCAGTTTCACCTAAATAAACGAGGGAGGATCATTCTCAACTCCCACAACTTGCTGACATATATCCAGCTGGCTCTGTAAACAACCCACCCTTTATAGTCTCAGAAGAACATCTCCACCTCTCCCACCCAGCCACCCAGCTTGGCCTACAGGTGGCTCAGTCCTAAGGAAGACACCAGAGTCTGGCCCGGAGCATCCCCAGGTCTGGTGTGGAAATAAGTATGGCCTTCCTCCAAGTCAGAGGCCAAGGCCCTTTCCTGGCTCCAGCTCTGCTGAAGAGTACACTCCCTCTGCCACTGGCTCCAGCTCTGCTGAAGAGTACACTCCCTCTGCCACTGGCTTTTGCAGGATTGAGAGCACAGGGCACCCGGGCCCAGGTCAGGTTTTCAGAATCAGTTACCTCCTCAACCTCTTGGCTGGTGGCTCGGACACCTCACAAGGCTGAGGCTCGGGTGTTGAAGCGTGTTTTTCCTTGGCGACGTCCTCTGGGCAGGGCGGTGAATCTTGGTCTGGAATGGAGGCAGGAGTGAGGGAACTCAGATTTTGGGGAGAACATTTCTGAGCTCCATGAGATGGGGCCTGGGCTCACCCCCTTCCCACCAAGAACCCTGGTCTCCCACATCTGCCTCTATCACCTGCTGACCCGCCCAGCCCCCACCTCATCCATGTCCCTCTGAAGGGCCAGCAGCCTCCCTCCCTCACCTTCTGATGTGTCCATCCGGGGCTCTTCGGCTTCCTCAGACCCCTCTGGGGGGTCTGACTTGTCTTCCACAGGCATTGTCTGAGAAGAAGAATCCTGCTTCCTTTCAGAAACTATTTTTAACATCTGATACCCACCTCTATCAATACCTCCTTACCTAAGGGTGGCTGCCCTATCCTCCAGGGGATGATGGGGCCCAGGAGATCTCTGGTGGGCCTGGCCCCAGAGCTGCCGAGTGGATGATCTTAGTAAAAATGCCCCAGCAGTGGTGTCTACGAGATTCTATCTAGTTGCCTGTTAAATAAACCCAGGTTTCGGGGGCATGATCCTTCTCCTGGCCACAGTGCTACCTCTGACCTAACTTCCCACTCAGTTTTCCACAAAGTAGCCAGTGCGATCCTTCTTTTTTATTTTTTTTGAGAGAGAGTTTCACTCTTGCCGCCCAGGCTAGAGTGCAATAGTGCGATCCTGGCTCACTGCAACCTCCACCTCCTGGATTCAAGCGATTCTCCTGCCTTAGCCTCCGGAGTTAGCTGGGTAGCTGGGACTACAGGCGCGTGCCACCATGCCCGGCTAATTTTTGTATTTTTTAGTAGAGATGGGGTTTCACCACGTTGGCCAGGCTGGTCTTAAACTCCTGATCTCAGGTGATCTGCCTGCCTTGGTCTCTCAAAGTGTGAGGATTACAGGTGTGGGCCACCATGTCTGGCTCAGTGAGGTCCTTCTAAAATGCAAACCTGATCATGTCTCTTCTTTCAGGCTTAAAGCCCTCCTGTGGCTTCCTGCAGCCCTGGTGCATGCCTTACACCAAGCCTGAAAACACTCTCCCCACACCCACTCCTCCCCTGCACAACCTGGCCTCTGCATACTCCCTGCCCTGGCCCTGCCCGTACCACCAGCCCTCTCTGTTTATCTACCCTGGCCTTCTCTCTGCTCAAACCCCAGGCCCATCCCTGCTCCCAGGCCTTCACTTAGAGCCTCAGCAGCACTTCTTTTTTTTTTTGAGACGGAGTTTCACTCTTGCTACCCAGGCTGGAGTGCAATGGTGCGATCTCGGCTCACCGCAACCTCCGCCTCCTGGGTTCAGGCAATTCTCCTGCCTCAGCTTCCTGAGTAGTTGGGATTACAGGCACGCGCCATCATGCCCAGCTAATTTTTTGTATTTTTAGTAGAGATGGGGTTTCACCATGTTGACCAGGATGGTCTCTATCTCTTGACCTCGTGATCCACCTGCCTCGGCCTCCCAAAGTGCTGATATTACAGGCTTGAGCCACTGCACCCCGCCTCAGCAGCACTTCTTGCAGGAAGCCCTCCTGACTCCAGAATAGGTCCAGACCCCACTTCCTTTTTGTGGCTTCTCTGTATTATTATTATTTTTTTCATCCATAGAGACAGAGTCTCACTGTGTTTCCCAGGCTGCTCTCAAACTCCTGGGCTCAAGTGATCCTCCTGCCTTGGCCTTCCACAGTGCTGGGATTACAGGCATGAGTCACCGCACCCAGCCTCCATAGTCTTAAATTAATTGGTTGGAGCATTATTTGCATTAATATCTCTCACCACCCTTCTCCATTCCTGTCCAAGACCTCAGGGAGGGCCAGACCAGATGCATCATCCGCACCACTGAGTCCCCTGCAGGGACTTCCAGATGTCTGCTAAATGAACACACAGCTCTCTCTAGCCAGTTCCAGGGCACCCCAGCAAACCACCAGAAGCCTGCAGCCTCCCTCCCTCCCTCCCGCTAAGGTCAAGGAATGAGCACTGAGCAGGGAATGGCAATCTGGACACATCGGGACTCTGCCCTTCAGAAACTACCCAGCTGTCACCCTGCATGACATAGGCAGCAGCCTGAGAGTCAGGAGGCCTGGGCTCTGGGTCCACCTCAACAGCTGTGGGGCTCAGGACCACCCCACCCCAATCTCTGAGCCTGGATTTTTCCATACATAATGAAGCAAGGGCAGGGTGGGTTGGACACTAGACCAGATCTGTGATGACTGGCCCATTGGAAGGCTGGAGACGGGGCCCCACTCTGGAGAAAAAGCCATCAACTCCAGATGTGGGCTGCCCCAGAGCAGCCAGCAAAGGGGGCGGTGCCCCTGCCCTGGAATGTACCCAGGAACAGGGTGTGAGCAAGGAGTCTGCTGGAACCTTCAGGGACAGGGACAGGACAGTCTAGGGAAAAGGTGAGCCCTTTGCAGATCTCCTGTTTATGGCAGGAGAAGGCTGAACACCTCTCAAACATGCAAGGAGCTGGGGGCTGCAGGCTGGAACCTAATCCAGCAACAGCATATAGCTTAGAATTTTATAACATTGTTCTACCTCAGTTACATTGCGCATGAGCGCTCATGTGCACACACACACACACACACACATATTTTTTCTGAGACAGAGTCTCACTCTGTCACCCAGGCTGGAGTGCAATGGTGCGATCTTGGCTCACTGTAGCCTTTGTCTCCAGGTTCAAGCAATTCTCCTACCTCAGCCTCCTGAGTAGCTGGGATTACAGGCACCCGGCCATTACACTAAGCTAATTTTTATATTTTTAATAGAGACAGGGTTTCACCACGTTGGCCAGGCTGGTCTCAAACTCCTGACCTCAAATGATCTGCCCCCACCTTGGCCTCCCAAAGTGTTGGGATTACAGGTGTGAGCCACGACACCAGCAATTTCTTATACTTCTACGAATGGCAATTAACTTAGTTTTTAGAATGCCAGATTATAATACGTTTCCTTTTAAAATAAATGTAATCAAAAGGAATCTCACTCATTCAAAGCCATGCTCTCCCACATAGTTGCCCCATAGCCTCAGGAGAGCGCTTGAAACTGGCTGGGCTGAATTGAGAGGTCAGTATTAGATACATACCAGATTGTGAAGATTTCGTATATTTTAAAAAAGGAATGTAGCCCAGCGCAGTGGCTCACGCCTGTAACGCCAGCACTGAGGCTGAGGTGGGCAGATCACCTGGTCAAGACTTCAAGACCAGCCTGGCCAACATGGTAAATCCCCGCTTCTACTAAAAATAAAAAAATTAGCCAGGCATGGTGGCAGGAGTCTGTAATCCCAGCTACTCGGGAGGCTGAGGCAGGAGAATCACTTGAACCCGGGAGGCAGAGGTTGCATGTTTTACCATGTTGGCCAGGCTGGCTTGAAACCCCTGACCTCAGATAATCCACCTACCACAGCCTCCCAACGTGCTGAGATTACAGGCATGAGCCATCATGCCTAGCCACCTTAATGCCTAAAACATTAAGCTGGGAGCAGTGGCTCATGCCTATAATCCCAACTGGTTGGGAGGCCAAGGTGAGCAGATCACCTGACATCAAGAGTTCAAGACCAGCCTCATCAACATGGAGAAACCACGTTTCTACTAAAAATGCAAGATTAAAATTAGCTAGGCGTGGTGGTGCATGCTATCCCAGCTACTTGGGAGGCTGAGGCATGAGAATTGCTTGAACCCGGGAGGCAGAGGTTTCGGGGAGCCGAGATTGTACCATTGTACTCCAGCCTGGGTAACAAGAGCGAAACTCCGTTTCAAAAAACAAATGAACTAAAAAAGAAACATTGGCTGGGTGTGGTGGCTCACGCCTGTAATCTCAGCACTTTGGGAGGCCCAGGCAGGCGGATCACCTGAGGTCAGGAGTTCAAGACCAGCCTGGCCAACACGGTGAAATCCTGTCTTTAAAAAAATAAATACATAAAAATAAAAATAAACCTTAAATAAATGATAGTACTGGTGGTGTTTGGGCATGGCAAAAATCCCATCAGAGATACAAAAATATTTGATGTTTGGGAAATGCCAGACAAGTCCATCCCTGCTCTCCTCATTATACTGATGAGGAAACTGAGGCATAAAGGGAGTGTAACCTGTAAGAAGGTCCAGGTTGAGCCAGAGCGGGTGACACTGGGGCTGACACCAGTATCCCCTCCCAACCACTCCTATCCCCACCTGCCTCACCCCAGCCACCGCTCACCTTTCGATTGGGGGTAGAGGAGGAGGTCCGGGCTTGTTTCTGAGGGTTCCGCCCTGAAAGGTTGAACTGGGAGGGGTTCATGGGGACCCCAACAGGAGGAGGTCCCAGCAAGGACTGGCGAGTGGCCTGGGGAAAGAACTGTTGCAAATTTGGAGTGGCCAGTTGCGGGGGTGTGAGGCTGGGGGCTGTCAGGCTGGGGGCTGGGAGGCCTGGGGTTGCCATGCTGTAGCCTCGGAGGTTACCTGCAGGCAAGAAGAGAGGAGAAGAGGGGTCACATTGTGGTTGGGTAGCAGAAGGTAGTGTCAGGCATCAGTGCCCCAGAGCATCATGGGAACATCCCAGATAACTAAAAGGGACCTTCCCATCCAAGGGCAGCCAAAGGGAAGAGATGAGAGCTGAGGCTCAGCCCCACCTTGGGCACTGGTGAAGGAAGCTTCAGGGCTCTTTTCTGCTCCAGCCGGGGGTGGGGGTGCTACCTTTAGCATTCCCCAAAGCCCTGTTCACCCTCAGGCATGCTTTAGAGTCTGCCATAGAGTAGGTGAGAGACCTTGCAGAGTCCATAGGGAGAAGCAGCAGGAAGGCTGGTCCCTGGGATAACAAGACACCCACCCCCGCCCCCACCAGCTACCCTTTATCAGCAGCAACTATGAGCCAGGCACTGTGCTAAGCCTGTTCCTCACTGCCTCAGTCACCCAGCCCAGCAGGTATCAGGGTGGGTTCTATCTCTACCAATGACAAAACCGAGACAGAGTGGAGGTACAGCTTGCCCAGGATCTCTTTGAGGGGCACTGCCAGCCACCTACCACCCCAGCCAGGATTCTGGGGTCTTCCTCATTCCTCCCTCTCTTTGCCTCATTCCATGCAAGCCATCCCCAAATCCTATCAACTCTGTCTCCTATGCCTCTTCCTAACCTGGCTTTCCCTCTCCACTGCCTGCTTCCCACTCCCACTCCCTGCCTCCTCCCAAAACCACTTGATCCTTTGCCTGAATTCAAGCCACAGCTTTTGCACAGGATGGTAGCAGTGATCTTTCTCAAAGCATATTCTAAGGTCAACCTTCCCCTCTGCCTAAAGACTTCCCTAGTGCCCTGCTGCTCGGTAGCAAAGCCTATTCCACACTGCACAGTCTGGCCCTTCCCACCTCTCCAGCCTCCTTTCTTGCCATTCTCCCACTATGTTCCCACTCTATTCCAGTCACATGTCCCTCCCTGTGCAGTCCTTCAGACATCCTGCCTCAGGGCCTCTGCATGTGCTGTTCCCTCCGCCTGGGCTGTTCTGCCCGCTGACTCCCAGTCACCCTTCAGACTTCCCTGTAGGTGTCTCTCCTCCAAGAGGCCTTCCCAGACTCTTTCTGTGTCCCCAAAGGCCCTAGCTTCCAGTTCTAGGATGAGCTACATACTTTCCTTGTCTGCTTGCTTTCTTTTCCTTTTTTTTTTTTTTGAGATGGAGGCAGTGGCACAATCTCAGCTCACCACAACCTCCACGTCCTAGGTTCAAGTGATTCTCCTGCCTCAGCCTCCCAAGTAGCTAGGATCACAGGTGTGCATCACTACACCCAGCTGATTTTTGTATTTTTAGTAGAGACAGGGTTTCACCATGTTGGCCAGGCTGGTCTCGAACTCCTGACCTCAGGGTGATCCACCCACCTCAGCCTCCCAAAGTGCTGGGATTATAGGCGTGAGTCCCCGAGCCAGACTCCTTGTCTGCTTTCTGCTTCACATCATCTAACTCAGCTCTGCACCTCAGGGGAGGCCAGAGCTCAGGAAGTATTTGAGGCATGAAAGGCAGTTGGAACTCTTGCCCCACTGCTGGGATGGGATGCCCCGAGGTTAAAGCTTAAAGCATGGGTCAGCTGTGCTATGAGTGCTGGGTTGGAATCTAGACTCTAAAGTACATGCTCTGTGACATTAAACAAATTAGTTCCCCCTACTTAGCCTGATTTCCCTGATCTGTAAAATGGGGATAATAATGGCACTTGTCTCACAATGTTTTATGAGGATTCAATGAGATATACAAATGTGCCTGGTACATAGTAAATGTTCAATTAACATTAAGTTGAAACAAATACATATACACATATGTGCAGAGAGCCAACCAGCTCCTAAAAATTCTCAAAAACATTAAGACAAAAGATGAAACGACCTAAAAGAAAAATGAACAAAGGACATGGACAAGTCACAAAAATAAATACAAATGTTTAACAGACAAATATAAAATGTTCACCTGTGCTAGCACATTTTAATTTAAATGTAAATTAAAACATTAATGGCACAGCTTCTTTTTGCCAACCAACTGAAGTAAATCATATGTATATACACATTGACATATATATATATATAAAAAGCATATAATACCCAGTGTTGCCGTGGGCATGGTGAGACCGGCACTGTCATACGTGGCTGGTGGCATTGCAAACTGGTCCAGTCCTTTAGGAAAGCAATTTGGCAATACTTATCAAGAGCCATAAAACACCCATCCCCCCTGACTCAGTGAGAAAACAATCTCAAATATATTCATCCCAGGGTTACTCAAAACAGCAAAAAAACCCAGAGCAAAACAAAACAAAAAAATTTAAAAAAGAAAACGAAAAAGAAAAAAAAAAAAAAAGAAAGAAAGAGCCAAACAGCTAAGAAGGTTTAGATAAGCAAAGCCATAGCCCTCTGGTGCAGTATTACACAGCTATTAAAAATAATCCTAACAGAGACAATAAAATCCTATGGTAAACGATCATGCCATTCTATTCAGTGAAAAAGTAACAAGGTACAGCATGGGACTTATATCAGTTGCAATCATTAGATACAAACCCCCAAGTTTGTGCCTAGAAAAAAAATGGGATGAAACAGACAAAAATATTGACTGGTAGTTTTCTTCAGGTGCTGAGTGAGTCAACAGATGACACTGTGGGTTTTCCTATTCCCATTTTTAACCTTTTTTTCCACTTTTTTTTTTTTTTGGAGATTCTTGTTACCCAGGCTGGAGTGCAATGGCGCGATCTCGGCTCACCGCAACCTCCACCTCCTGGGTTCAGGCAATTATCCTGCTTCAGCCTCCTGAGTAGCTGGGATTACAGGCACGTGCCACCGTGCCCAGCTAATTTGTATTTTTAGTAGAGACGGGGTTTCACCATGTTGACCAGGATGGTCTCAATCTCTTGACCTCGTGATCCACCCGCCTTGGCCTCCCAAAGTGCTGGGATTACAGGCATGAGCCACTGCGCCCGGCCCTTTTTCCACTTTTTTAAAGAGTGTGACTTTTATTCTTTTGTTTGTTTATTTTTGAGAAAGGGTCTTGCTATGTTGCCCAGGCTGATCTTGAACTCTTGATCTCAAGCAATCCTCCTGTCTTGGCCTCCCAAAGAGTTGGGATTGCTGGCAGGAGCCACCACATCTGACCAAGAGTGTGATTTTTTTCTTTTTTTGAGATAGGCTCTTGCTCTGTTCCCCAGGCTGGAATGCAGTGATACAATTTTGGATCACTGCAACCTCTGCCTCCTGGGTTCAAACGCTTCTCATGCCTCAGCCTCCTGAGTAGCTGGGATCAAGTGCACACCACCATGCCCAACTAATTTTTGTATTTTTAATAGAGACAGAGTTTCACCAAGTTGCCCAAGCTGTTCTCGAACTCCTGGACTCATGTAATCCTTCTGCCTTGGCCTCCAAAAGTGCTGGGATTACAGGCGTGAGCCACGGCCCATGGCCAAAGAGTGTAATTTTTTAAATGGGAAAGAAAAAAAGGAAAATGTATATGTATATGTGGCAGGTCCCTATGTGTGGTTCTCTCTCTCTACCCACCTGCTTATCATTTTTAAGTCAGCTCCCAGGACCATCCACACCCATGTGGCCCAGACAGATCCACAGAGTGACAATCATCTAATCAATATCTACTTATTAAGTGATCTTGGGCACATGACCCCTCTCTGGGCCTGTTTCTTCATCTGTGAAATGGGATTGTGGGTGTACCTCCCCTAGGAGGGTTATCATAGAATCAGGAACAGCATCTTGGCTGGGCACGGTGGCTCATGCCTGTAATCCCAGTTCTTTGGGAGACCAGGGTGGGTGGATTACCTGAGGTCAGGAGTTCAAGACCAGCCTGGCCAACATGGGGAAACCCCATCTCTACTAAAAATACAAAAATTAGCCAGGCGTGGTGGCAGGCACCTGTGTCCCAGTTACTTGGGAGGCCGAGGCAGGAGACTCGATTGGACCCAGGAGGCAGTGGATGCAGTGAGCCAAGATCGGGCCATTGGGCTCCAGCCTGGGTGACAAGAGCAAAACTGTCTCAAAAAAAAAAAAAGTACAGCATCTTGGAAAGAAGAGCCAAGACTGTTCTTCATATTGGGAAATTGAGACAAGGCCACAGGCTTATGCACCAGCCTACAGACAACCAGTCAGATATCTGGATGGTCAAGAGGCCCCAGGCATCAGCCCAACTCAGCCCCTGCTGATACAGGGCAAATGACTTCCCTTCTCAGCTTCCTTATCTGTCAAATGGCATCTAATCTGAATGTGAGTGAAGTGTGCTAAGTACCACCCAAAGAGCCAGCAGACAAATGTGCATTCAAATTAGCATCTTAGGGACTTTCACCGCCCTGAGCCTTAGTGTCCTCATGGGTGAACTAGGCTGCCAAGAGTAGCTTCCTCTCAGGGAAGTTAAATCTCAACGGTGTGGAGTTGAGATTTAGGGCAACAGGCTGCTAGGGAGATACCCCTAAAAGAGACGGAGAAGGGGCCTGGGGCCATCCATACCTTGTAACTGCTGTAAAAGCAAAGCTCTCTGCAGCATGGAGCCGTTGAGGAGGGAGGCTGAGTTGGTGCCCTGGAGATTCAGAAGTGGCTGCTGTGGCTGCTGTGGGGAGAGCCCCCTGGATGTTGGGAGGAGGTGTCAGAAGGTTATTGGGAAAGTCAGACCTTCCCTCCTCCCCAAGACTTCTCACCTCCATTCTATGCCCCACTCTATGGTAGACAGAGGGCCCCTTGGGGTTGGGATTGGTGATCACCAGGACTCGAAGGGGGATGCCATTAGGGAAGAGGATGGGGATCGGGAGCTCCCAGACATGGATCTGAATGGCAGGGCTGAAGCCATCGGGCCCAGCGGGGAACTCACCGACTGACAGCCACGGGCAACGGGGCCTGCGGTGGGGACTGCTGGAGCAGCTGCTGGAGCTGCAGTAATTGCTGCTGCTGCAATTGCTGCTGCTGCAATTGCTGCTGCTGCAATTGCTGCTGCTGTAACTGCTGGAGCTGCTGCTGCTGCTGCTGGCTAAACATGGTGGCTGGGGGCAGAAAGCAGAGTAAGGCCAGGGGTCCCCACCACAGGTCAGGCCAGCTCCCCTCCCATCCACAGCCACTCCCCCCAGCCACAGCCCGCAAAGGCCGCTGCGGAGCTTCACAGCTGCACCCCAGTCCTTCCAGGACCCTGCCATACTCACTTGGCCCATCCTTCCAAGTTACCTCCAATCCTGCCAGGGGCAAGATTCAACCACCCTCCTGCCAATGCCCCCTCAGAGACTGCCAACAGCCCCTCCTTCAAATCCCTCCATCTCTCCATTTCTGAAGGCTCCATCCTCCCACCCTCAGCCTCGGCCTCTCTGCGCTCATCACTTCCCCACTCACACCCTCTTTTCAATACCGCAACCCTCTCCCGGCGCCCCGACGTCAATAACATCGACAACCGTCCAACCCCGTCACCGTAGTCCTGAGCTCCGTAGGACGGCTTCTCCCCACCACCGCCGCCTCCCCGCGGCCCACTCCGCCCGCCCCGACCCCACCAGCCCCATCCTCCGCAGACACAGCCACCGTCGCGCGCGGAGCCCCACGACCCCGCCGTCCTCGGCCCCGCACCTTGCCTCCCCGCGCGCCCTCAACGCTCGCGTCACCCCCACGGGTGGGCCGGCCGCGCACACCCCACGCTCCGACCCGAGGGCTCCCGGGCTCCGCGCCGCTTCTCCCGGGCCTGTGGGCTCCTAAGGCCCGAGTGCGGGCGGGGCCAGTCGGGGCAGCGCCCTCTGCGGGACGGGAGGTCCAGGCGCCGCTGGCCGCGCCGCGCGAGCCCGCCCAGTGCACCGGTCACGCAGTGCTACGAGGCGCGAGCAGGTGCGAGGGGGTCCTGGGTGGCGCAGGACCGCCTCCGTCCTTCTTCCTCAGCATCAGGAAGGGACGGCTCAGAGACCAAGGTCCGTCTGCCTCCCGGAAGGATCAGCCATCCCGCGGGGACATCGAGGGGGGTGCTTCCAGGAGGACCTGTCCCAACCGACCTCCCTGATGCCGCCGCGGTCCTGCGATCCTGGGGCCCCGCGCGGAGTTGCGGTGGGAGGGGGCGCGCAGTTGGCGGATGTACATTCATTCGAGGGACCCAGGCCAGGCGAGAGGGCGACCAAGGTCTTACAACCAGGCAGGAGTTTGCCCACGGAGGGGTGGAGGGGGGTCCACTCAAAGTATTTTCCTAGTAGATCTGGCTAAGAAAGGAGTGGGTGAGGAGAATCGAGTGTAGTTATAAAAAAATAGCTACAGTGGCCGGGCGCCACGGCTCCTGCCTGTAATCTCAGCACTTTGGGAGGTTGAGGCTGGAGGATTGATTGAGTCCAGGAGTTCGAGACCAGCCTGGGCAACATGGAGAACTCTGTCTCTACAAAAAAAAAAAAAAATTAGCTGGGCCTGGTGGCAGGCCCCTGTAGTCCCAGCTACTCGGGAGGCTGAGACAGGAGAATCAGCCCGGGAGGCGCAGGCTGCAGTGAGCTGAGATCAGGCTCCCACCCTACAGCCTGGGCAACAGAGCAAAACCTGTCTCAAAAAAAAAAAAAAAAAAAAGCTCGGTCAGGTGGCTCACCCCTGTAATCCCAGCACTTTGGGACGCCGAGGCGGGCGGATCACGAGGTGAGGAGTTCAAGACCATCCTGGCCAAAATGGTGAAACCCCCTCTCTACTAAAAATACAAAAAATTAACCAGGCCTGGTGGTGCGCACCTGTAATCCCAGCTACTTGGGAGGCTGAGGCAGGAGAATCACTTGAACCTGGGAGGCGGAGGTTGCATTAAGCCAATATTGTACCACTGCACTCCAGCCTGGGCAATAGAGCGAGACTCCCTCTCGAGAGAGAGAGAGAGCCCTGCTCCCTCATCTTGCACCTAAAATGGTCCGGCCCTCAAAGACCCCTTTAACAACAACTCTATCCCCGGACCCGCACCGTAACAATCCTTGGCTACTAAGTAGTAATTCTGTTGCCGTTGTTGTTGTTGTTGTTGAAACGGATTCTCACCCTATCGCCCAGGCTAGAGTGCAGTGGCCTAATCTGGGATCACCACAACCTCCGCCTCCCTGTGGTTCAAGCTGTCCTCCCGTCTCAGCTTCCCGAGTAGCTGGGACTACAGCTCGTGCCACCACGCCCAGCTAATTTTTGTATCTTTAATAGAGACGGGCTTTCACCGTGTTGGTCAGGCTGGTCTCGAACTCTTGACCTCAAGTGATCCGCCTGCCGCGGCCTCCCAAAGTGCTGGGATTACAAGCTTGAGCCACCACGGCCGAACTAAGTAGCAATTCGGTTTCCTTTTTCTGTAGCTCGCAGCCTTGCACAAGTGTCACAGCCCGATCGACTCCTCGCCCGGCCTTCCGCGCTGACGTTGGGCGGGTAGGACGCGCGGAGGCGCTGGCGGCGCGCACACCCGGGCGGGCCGAGCGCCTTGACAGAGTGCGCTCGGGCAGCGGAACTCGCTTGTCTGTAAGTCATCGCAGTCATGTGACGAGCGCCGCTCCAAGGCTTTGGACTGGCTCTGCGGCAGCCGGACTGCGGCTGAGTAGCCTAACTCGGCCTGGAAGAGTTGCGGAAGAACTAGGACTTAGAGGCGCCAAAGTGGCTCCGCGAGGCCGGAGCGCGGGGTGGCGTCTGGTGCACGGGGGACATAAGCGCCTATGGGTGCACAGGAAGCCTGGAGGGTGGGGTTTCGAACGCTGGGCTGAGGAGAGGGCCTTATCCCCTAAGGGTAGGGAGCACTAGAAAAGGGTGTGAACCTCATGAGTGACAGCATCAGATCTACCAATTGTAAAACCCGCTCCTGTGAAAACAAAGACAGAAGCAGTGAGAAGGTAAGAGAAGCGAGTTGAGACTGCCCAGGCTCTACAGGGCACAGTGGCTCACCCCTAGAATCCCAGCACTTTGGGAGGCCCAGGCGGCTGGATTACTAAAGTCAGGAGTTCGAGACCAGCCTGGACAACATGGTAAAACCCCGTCTCTACTAAAAATACCAAAACAAATTAGCCGGGTGTGGTGGCCAGCGCCTGTAATCTCAGCTACTGGGGAGGTTGAGGCAGGAGAATATCTTGATCCTGGGAGGCAGAGGTTGCAGCTGAGATCACAACACTGCATTGCAGCCTGACAGAGTGAGAGTCCATCTCCAAAAAAAAAAGCCAGGCGCAGTGACTCGCACCTGTAATCCCAGCACTTTGGGATGCTGAGGCGGGTGGATCACCTGAGGTCAGGAGTTTGAGACTGGCCTGGCCAACATAGTGAAATCCTGTCTGTACTAAAATATACAGAAATTAGCCGGGCGTGATATAGCCCCAGCTACTCAGGAGGCTGAGGCAGGAGAATCGCTTGAACCTGGGAGGCAGAGATTGCAGTGAGCCGAGATCACACCACTGCACTCCAGTCAGGCGACAGAGGGAGACTCCATCTCAGAAAAAAAAAAAAAAAAAAAAGACGCCTAGGCTGCAAAGCAAGCATGTTGACACCTTGAGCTGGGTGCTAGCATTGGCGAAGTCCAGGGTTGAATCGTGACTCCCCTGCCTTGTGGCTAGGCGACACAGGCTGACGGAGAGGCCTCTTAGCTGGTTTCTTCCTTGGTAAAACATGTGCCCCCTCCCGAGGTGGTAAGGATGACATTACATAATGCTTAGCACTGGCACCTGGCACAGAAGGAGCTTAGCAAATTGCCAAAGTAAAAAAAACTAAAAATAATGCTTGTGCTGGTAAAGGTGGAAAGCCAGCACTAGCTTCCTGTGTTGGTTCATCTTTCTGGAAAGCAATCTGCAAAATTTTTTTTTTGAGATGGAATCTCGCTCTGTCACCGGCTGGAGTGCAGTGGCGCAATCTCGGCTCGCTGCAGCCTCCACCTTGAGGGTGCAAGTAATTCTCTGCCTCAGCCTCCCGAATAGCTGGAATTGCAGGCACCCGCCACCACACTTGGTTAATTTTTGTATTTTCTTTTTAAATTTTTGTTTTTATTTTATAGAGATGGGGTGTCACCATGTTGGCCAGGCTGGTCTTGAACTTCTGACCTCAGGTGATCCACCCATCTTGGCCTCCCAAAGTGCTGGGATTACAGGCGTGAGCCACCTCGCCCAGCCTAATTTTTGTATTTTTGGTAGAGACAGGGTTTCACCATGTTGACCAAGCTGGTCTTGAACTCCTGACCTTGTGATCCACTCGCCTTGGCCTCCCAAAGTGCTGGGATTACAGGGGTGAGCCACCGGTGCCTGGCCCCAATTTGCAAATTTTATATCAAGAATCTTGGGCTGAGCGCCATGGCTCACGCCTGAAATCTCAGCACTTTGGGAGGCCGAGGTGGGTGGGTCACGTGAGGTTAGGAGTTCAAGACCAGCCTGGCCAACATGGTGAAACTCTATCTCTACTAAAAATACAAAAATTAGCTGGGCATGGTGGCAGGCACCTTTTATCCCAGCTACTCGGGAGGCTGAGGCAAAAGAATCGCTTGAACCCAGGAAGCAGAGATTGCAGTGAGCCAAGACCGAACTATTGCACTCCAGCCTGGGCAACAAGAGTGAAACTCCGTCGCGAAAAAAAAATAATAATAATAAAAGAATTGTGCACACGTTCTGCCCTTTGACCCAGTAACACCACTTGTAGGAGTCTAGTCTAAGAAAATAATCAGAAATGAGACTTACAAAATAGCAGGTTGTTCATGGAAACGTTTAATATACTTTTTTTTTTTTTTTTTTTTTTGAGACAAGGTCTTGCTCTGTCACCGAGGCTGGAGCACAGTGGCACCATCACAGCTCACTGCAGCCTTGCCCTTCCCAGCTCAATGGATCTGCCTACCTCACCCTCCTAAGCAGCTGGGACTGTAGGCCCATACCACCAGAACCAGTATTTTTTTTTTTAAAGACAAGTGTCTCACTATGTTGCCCAGGCTGGTCTTGAACTCATAGACTCTAGTGATTCTTATGCCATGGCCTCCCAGAGTGCTGAGATTACAGGCGTGAGCCACCACACCCAGCCAAACCTTTATTTATAATAGCTGTCTAGAAAATAATCAACTTTA